CTATGCACAGGGAATCACAAAATCACACAAGAATGAATTGGTTATTGACAGGAATACCGGGCGCATCAACTGTGGCAGCATTTCTGGACACCATGGCACTGGCTGTCGTAGAAGCAACCATGTCGGGGACACAGATAGTAGTACTGCGGGCACGTCAACATTGACATCGCTATGAAAGGGCACGATATTGACTTGGCAAGTCAATATCGTGCCCTATACTTTAGTAGGGCCGAAGTTCGAACTATCAGTGCACTGCTGGCTGTGTCTGTAGCATCGGCGGCGGTCGGGCTGCAAGTTAAATGCATGGGAACAGCTGGTGACACAAATGGCGGCCGAACCTGGAAAAATCAACGATCTACATACTTCTGTGCACCAGGTTGAAATTCTGAGATTTACTTAGCAATTAAGTCGCAAAAATAGTATGTAAAAAAATCTGATAGAGATATCAGGTTTAAAATCTAATCATTCTATTAATGTTATTTTGGGTTTCCGCGGAACCAGACACAACCGCGAGTAAATCTACATTTTACAAACTTTGAAGAATTTTGCGTCGATTATCACGGAAATTGTTGGGCACCCGGAAGCAGATTCTCTGTGTAGTATGTACTGTTTGGGAAGCAAACTAACTGATAGTTTTCTCCCACACCCGGTTCACCAGGTAGCGCGTTTTTAAGGTGTATTGTGAAAATTCGATACATGACAGCGACGGTATGTCTAAGCAGAGTTATCGCGCAATGTTTGGCGTTAATGGGAACGTGTCTGGGATTTACGTATATACTACGTATTTTACTATTTTTTTATAAATTTTAACGACATAATGACATTTTTACATTTGAAAGACATCCGTCCTGCATGGTTCGTCCTGTTGATGGTGAACAGTCCAATCCATGACTGCTTTTTTTTATGAAATCGAACCAGAAACAGGGCGCTTAATTAAATTTTCATTTGGGGCAAACTATGATTGTAGGAATTGGATTAATTTGTTTACTGGCATACAAAGCAAAATCAAATACAGCTAGTGAACGGTAAATACGGAAGCGGCGTAAAATCCTTCCCCATATAACCCATTGTTTTTTGACACGCGACCATGCGTTCAGCCGGTACAGATACAAACAAGATGTGCTGACGTCGGTGAACGGTGAAAGTTCTTTTGTTTATTTTCTTGCAATGTTTGTGTACTCTCCGAGCAACAATATGGTGTCTTCCGTTAAAACGGTAATCATGTCTGGTTGCAAGCAGATTCAAAAAAATAAGCAGTGCACAGGATATTAACTACATGTACAATATCATGCGGGAAGTGGAAAGTTGCAAACGGACTTGCAGATTCTGCGTTGAATGTTTACCACTACTGGCCACACGGGTTCACAATCCGCAGCCGATGGGGCATATAGTGAACTGGGAAATATTGAAAGGTCATTCGTCAAACTGGGTCTTGACAAGACCGACCAGTGCACTTTGTGCCACAACATTTCTGTTGCCCCGGGCATTGGTTGTCGTATGTGCACGTATTTGGAGGACATTGCAGACAATACAGGGCAGTAATCGGTCTGCACTGTCCCGACTTCACGGCTGGCATAGCATTGTTGATGGGGTTTTCAGTTGTCACTGGACAACCTGGGCGTCCAACACCTGTGCACGAAGCAAATTCTTAGTGCCCTGCATATATAGTTTGTGGCTTCTTCTTATGAATATTTTATGCTAGGGTTGCTTTAATTACTGAGCTTTAAATGTAATAATACGAAAACGCGGATTCCGGTTGGGTTTTGTACAGCAAAACCGAGAGAAGGTAATTAATTTTACCGGTTGGCGTCTGAGCGTTTGTGGTGACAGCGACCAGGATAACCCCAGCGATAAATACAAACAAATAATGCATTCTCGCAAAAGTAAAGGCTGAAATAGAGAAGGTAAGTGTTAGCAAGTGATAAAGGTATTCGTAAAGTTGTTTCGCAATTTTAAGATCAGTAATTCTTTAAAATTATACTGCTTTTGGACGAGAAAATAAAAGGCAGTTTTCTTACTTTTATATCTTAAAACTGTAACGGTACTTAATACCGCAGTGACTAGGCAGTTGGCATATATTTTTCTGGTAACACTGAAGGCAGTTTCCGTTCCTCTGTTGTTCGGCTCTGCTTTACAATTTTGTTTGCTATTTCGGTAAATCGTATTTTTGTTTGTTTGCTTTGTTATTGGGGAATCTGCTGGGAAAACATGCCCACTGCAGCCTTCGATAATATAACACCAGTTGCGCGCGGTGGATCGGTACGGTGTAATGTGGCAGTGCAGCAGTGCAGGATCATCAAATGGATATTACGAAGAGTCAGACAACTTTGTGCGGTATAGTTGTGCGGTATAGTTGTTTTGACCATTCAGAGCGTAGATAAGCTCCGGGGACCGGATCGTGATGACACACGTTACCAGTCGTTTCTACTGTGCATAATGCACAAAAAACCTACACAGGCGTTGGAATATACCCGAATGTTTGAATCTGAGCATTGTCGAGGTTGTATACAAAGCCGTCAAAAATTGCAAACACACACGTTTTTATGCTTTTTCATATACACAGCCACATCTGCAATCTGTGCCTGCGTTCAGTAATGTTTCGCGCACATCGATAGGACAAACGATTGCATAATATTTTATTATTAGTTAATAAACTCTTGTAAAATTTTTATTATTAATTAATGCTGGCCTATCATGGAAGCTGAAACTATGGAATAAATAGATAGTTGCTTTCAAAACCGCAAAAATTTAAGGCTTTTTAAGAGACGTCCAAAAGTCTGACACCGGTGAAGATTTTTTCCAAAGATGACATATTGAGTGTTCCACGCCTGGTGATGGTGTAACTTTTAATTTCACTTATCTAAATCGATTTAAAAAATCTTCAGTAATTATAGAATTTCTATTAGGACTAAAGAACATGATCTAAAATTATGTATGTACGGTATATGTAGAGCGTATGTAGGACGAACATGCAGCAATTTCTGATTGAGTAATTTGCACAGACGCGTTGATTTTACGAAAGAAATATAATCGCAATAACATTTTGAATTATTGCAAATGCACTTTAAGGTACATTTTTGTAGCCAAACCAACCTGCAGAAGGAGCATCAAGTTTCAGTACTATTTACATCACCTTTTATATGCAAACAGTTACAAAATACCTATGCAGCGCATAGTTTTTCTACCGTCGGCACAGCTTGCATATACTGACTGATACTATCTTATATATAAGATAGTATCAGTCAGTATATGCAAGCTGTGCAAGTTTTTTCAGAACGCATAATAGCTTTCGTGTTTTAAGTGGGCGTTTGAAGCTGAACAACTATTTTTTTGTTAATTAACAAAAAATAGTTGTTCAGCTTCAAACGCCCACTTAAAACACGAAAGCTATTATGCGTTCTAAAAAAACTTAATGCGCTAAAAATGAAAGGACAATCGGACTGCAAAAGCAAGCGCACGTGCGATCGAATCTGCTTCGTAATTAAATTGTCACAAACGTTTAAGAAAACATTTAGCAGCGAACGTCACAGCTCTTATCCGGCCATGGCGTCAGGTCAGTAGTTACACTGGATCTAGGCATGCCTTCACGCATCCGTTGTTGCAGCACTTCTGGGCACCTGTACACTGGAAGTCCGAAAAGCAGCCAGGGCACTGGGTGATGATGGCCGGACAGAACAGAATGGGAGGCTTAGGACAGTTGCCGGGTTTTGAAACACCGTACGCTACGGGAACGGCCGGATACACTGGACAGTCGCGGTGTGCCGTGCCTATGATAGAGGAAGGCCTGTTTTAAAAATCATCTGCACTTTGGATGCTTGCGTTATTAGCTTTACCAGTTCACCATAATAACTGTTGTGGTTGTGATCAGAATACGAAGTAACCAGTTAAACTCACCAGTGTTAGGCTGGGCAGTTGTTCCAGCACTGATTAGTACGATGGCGAAAAGCAGTGCTAAAAGATACATGTTTTGAAATTCGTACAAACCTCTGGAGAACATCTTCAGTACGGGACAATAAGTACTCGTACGTAAGTAGTAAGCACTGTGCACAAGGTTTAATAGTTGAAAAGATACGAATGTTCAAATGATTTTTGTTGTTTTAGATTTCAGCAGCTTAAATAGTAGTACCGCGCTATGACTATGCAAAAATGCATTTGGAGCACTAAAGTTATGAAATCTGAAATGTTGTTTTTATTGCCATATTTACATGTTTGCTGACCGGTGCAAATGTATATTGTGTTTCTATATGAGACAAAGTGCATTCGAAGAAACAGTTGAAGAGTAGCAAACGTTACCGGCATGTACTCGTACAAACATGCATACAGTACGAAATATAAATATCAACACAGGCAAAATAAAACTGTGGATAATGCCTGTTTCGGTGGTAGATTCAGGAAACTACAAGTGTTGTTTCTAAAAAAAACCTTGAAATAATAAATATGTTGTTTTGAAAATGCAAAATTACTGTCTTCCTGTAGTATCGCGCTGGTAACAAAAGCATTATTTTAAAATGAGTACTTTTTAGGAGTAAACAAGCCGGAAATCACCACAATTTTTTAGCATTGGCTACTGTTAATAGTACAAACTATTCCATGTTATATGCAAGCTTTTTAAGTACTGTTACTATTGTATCAGTTCAAGCTCCAAACTTTCCGGAGTAACGCAGAAATGATATACGTGCTTTTTGTGCAATCATTAAACAACCATGCGTCGGTTATAAATAAAGGCATCACCATACTGTTTATAATTTTACCGTTACGAGGAAGCATTCAGTCAAGTGATCGCTACCATGCGCAATGAATTCGCTACCTGCTACCATGCGTGCCGTAGTGCAACCGTCCACGGTTGGCTGTTAAGTGAACCGTCAGTGGACATTTTAGCCAGCTCGCTACATGAATCCGCTACCGACTCGATTGAACTCTCGTCGTAGTTGGACAACAAGGTCTTTTAACTTTTCTTACTTATTTCGCTAATAACAGTTTTCCGTATAATTACTTTTGCATTAGCACTGGAACAGTTGTCTGAACCTGTCTGTTACACCCGCAATCAGTTCACGAAAAGCCTCTCTAAGGTCACTCAATGAGATCACAAAAAGAACAGGATCCATTAGCAACTGTACGCTGAAGATAAAAGCTACCACGCTGAACACAGTCAAATCTTCGGGAAACGGAATGAATGTGTACACCATAAACACCACAATGTTGGGCGTCCAGCAGATTGTCGCGCTGGTGGTCAGCATTGTCAGAATCAGCATAGTCTGCGAGTTACTCTTGGCGATTTCCAGTTTAATCGCCGATTTACTGGCGCCCTGTGAATGCTGCGTGCCGGTCGGTTTTCTTTCCAAAGAATGCTGCGGCAGCTGACTGTCGTTGTTTGTGATTTTACTGGGAATGGTCAGCTGCGACAGCGGCAGCGGTCGCAAGCGTTGCAGTTCGTGTCGACGAACGCGATACTTATAGTAAATGAACGGGTATGACACTACCATGACGACCAAAGGCGTCACAAATAAGAGGACGATCATTATGAGATTCCAAGTGGGTTGCGCGGCGATGTCGAAGAAACAACCGTTGCTGGACACGTTTTGTCGGTAGTACAGGATATCGGCAATAAAACCCGGCATCATTACAATATGCAGATAGATCCATTTCCCCAAACACACCGCTGCAAAGACGCTGATCTTTTGACTGGATTTGTAGGAGTGAGGAAAGAGGATTGCCCACAGTCGGTTAAGTGTTATTAACATGTGTGCGTTACATGTTGCTGCCTCTGTAATAATTGAACAAAAATTAATTTACATTCAAAAGTTTACTTAATTACTTGCTCACCAACTGGGAGACGTTTTAGATTTTACTAACGTAAAGTATAATTGGAGTATAAGTATACTGAACAGATGACAGAATTCCGCGTCTTCCAATAACTGGGCAGGAAATCGATTCCAATATCGAAAGCGTTCTCCCAAATACAGTAAACAAAATCCGTGATGATTAAGTTCAGCATGAAAACATTGAAAGGCTTTTTGGATAGGTTGTCGACGCGATAGAATAAATACAGTACAAGAATGATAGCAGTTATGCTAAGAATGAACACCACTGTTGTACTTATGGCAGAGAAATTTGCAGAAAGTTCTTCAGGATTTGAAATGTTTAAACCCAATAAACTGCTTGTATTGTTGAACATTGCGGCAATAGCTGCCTGATTGTGACACGCTCGTAAAGAAGACAGTAAACTAAAGCTGATAGAGTGCACAAATGTGTAACTAGAAAGGTCACACGGGTTATATATCCGTCACGAAGACATCGGCATGGTTGTGGCACTGGTCAATACACCCAAAGGACAGGATTCACGCACACAGATAATTAAAAACCGACGTTGAAAACCACATACAAATATCTTCTAATCTCTATATTTTCCACTCTTAATACGGAGTGCATGACGCACAACGTGATTCAGTGAGTGTGAAATAAAAATTATCAAATAAAACCATCGAAGTGCGCAGTTGGGTTAATTAATAGGAAGACTTCCAAATCTGCGTGTTCACTTCGCCCATTGGATGGACGATACTAATCCGGGATTTAAACCTGCCACTCGGGACTACCAAACAAGTACTAACAAGGACGCCCTAATGTTCTGATCCTAACAACGTTTATAAATTTTGAACAATAACAAAGCCACGGCACGGCGGGCACGCAAACAAAATACGTCGGTATTAACATGACAGGCAGCTGATCGAAGTTCATCCATACTCTTCACATCTACAAACTAATCAACAAATTTAACAGGAGATGCAGCGACAGAATAACTGTTAAATAACTTAATGCTGTTACAGAATAGGTAACTGTTACTATTTAAAAGTAGTTGGTCACTGGCACAAAGTCGCTCGAAACCATCCTGGCTCTCCAACAGAAAAACCATCCTGGCTCTCCAACAGAACCACTTCAACGCTGTGAAATTTTCGGTATCGTAACACAAGAACCATGTACAAGTACAGTATGGCATTATAGCAATTTCAGTTGCTTATGGCTCTTTGCTTATAGCTAAAATGCTGAGGTAAATAATTTTCTACGCAGACTAAACTTAAAACATGAAAAAAGGGGCTAGCCTCCGTAAAAGCGCTATTCTTCCTGTTGAACGTCCATGGTCGCAAGAAAGGCCCGCGAACGTACAGCTTGATAACAATCCGGGCCGGACAGCTTGGTAAAGGTATCCATAGCCTCTTCGCAGTAGCCGCGCCACACTTCCCGCGTGGATGGAAACATTGCCTCGAACAAGATAACCAGGCGGATTTTTTCGGCGGGAGTCAAGAAATCCACCTGCTTTCCCATGATGACTTCTGTACATCTTAAGGGACATCCCACAGCATCAGCCAAAAACGTTGCGCGATTCACATGGTACTTTGGGCATATATTTCTAGGAAAGATAATACCTAATGTACCTGCTTTTTTTGTTGCATGGTATTGATCGCCAAATACGATTAAATCATTAATGTACTCGTAGTTTTCATTAGTCTGTCCTCGTAAAGTCGGTCACGATTGAAAATGCTTAAGGTCAGGAACAAGAAAAATCACACAATTACAAATTCTTCAGACAACTGCTGCAAATAAAGGAAGCGTCACGAGGATGATAATAAGATTAAATGTTTATTAAATGTTTTTCCAGAAAGATATTGCAATTACCGACAATAAAGCTAGCTGTAAAAATATTCACTTACCGCACACAAACCATAAGTTCTTGGGCCAACTTCCAGGCATCTTTAAATCGGTGTTGTTCGTTGTAGATCGCAACTTTGCCAAGTCCACAAACGAAACGGACATGCGCGTCAGGATGCACAAGGTCGGCAGCTTCCAGTTCATCAAACAGCGCTGTCATCGTCAGGAAATATTGTATCTGATTAGGAAACCTAGCCGCGCACTTTTCCAAAAAGACCATCAGCTTATTCCGGCGATCATAGTTGACAGCGCCGCATTGGGGACAGGGAGAACATGCTCTATCATCGCTGGGAATGCGTTCCGTGCAGCCCATCGTCGAACACTTTAGCGGATTAAGCTCGGCTTCCTACAAAATCACCAAAAAATAACAACAAAAAACACCAGCATGCAATTCAATAACGCCGACTAAACCGTTTTGGTGAACGTTGACTTACGTATTCTGGCGTGCATTTGCGGCAAATGCACAAATATCCGTACACATTTCGAAACAACTGACGCCGGCGCGGAGCAACCGTTTGGTACTGATTCTGCATGAGTTCACAGTATCGCAGCTGAAAATACCAACTTCAACAATCGGTTTGCAAGCGAAGTGAGGAAGAAAAAGTGACCACAGCGACCTTTAAATTTTACAAAATTTTTTAATCGAGTCCAGTTAGGTTGATTTCCGCATCTCTGATGGTGTATTGTATGTACATTGGAACATGGACTTACATCAGATAGGCCAGTATACATTGCAATGTCTTCCGTTGCGCGCACAAACAGTCGCCGTCCTGTGTAATCAAAGGTAACGTTGATGTCCCAGCAGACTGGCTTCATAGCTCGGTGCGGTATGCTGGGGAATAGTGCCGCTCCGACCAGGATTTGCTTAGTGCGGGTGTTTGGTATGGGAAGCATATGGTAACGCAGAACTTTAAGATAGTCAACAAAAGCCGCTACAGATACATCCAGTGAAGAAGCAATGCGGCGCAAAACCGGACACATGATGACCGGTCTCTTCAGCCTGCATCATTGGCAATTAGTACAGTTGTGTTGTCGTCAAAAGCGAATCCATAACAACTCACAATGGATCCACTTGCTTAAGGTGCTCATCGGCAGGGAGCAATTTCAAGATATTTTGAGCAGATTTCTTCCCCAATCCGGTGATGTCGTCCAGTACACCCCGCTAGACAGAATGAAACTTTTGATGATTGGGTAATAAAGTTGATATTATAGCAGATGGACGTTTAAGTCAACCGCGTACTGAAAAGTGGAGAGCGATGAAGCGGTTTTATGCGCATACCTTGCCTTTTCCGCCAGCTTTGCTATCAGAATTTACAGATAACATGGCAGTACAGGATCACTCTTATTGCAGTAGGAATTGACGCGAGAAACCGCCACGATTGTTTGGGCAACTGGTTTCAGCATGGCACACTCCTTTTTGTGTTCCTTCTTCCAGTCTGTAGTCTGTAATTAGAAAGTGCTGATAAAATACTTTTTACTTAATCAAATACATATCGCTAGGTATTGCTGTTATATATATTGTTGTGATGACGATCTAATGTCCAACCAGGTTTTATCAGAATTGCAATATTGCTGTCTTGCACTAAGAGTAAGGAGTAATAAGCGATGGTCCGAGGCATACACCGGCTACACGTTTCAAAGTTTGAGCACACCTGACACTGAGCACCGCAATAGCGATGTAATCGGCAGCCCAACATGTCTGAAGTTCCTTCTCGCCTTGGAAGCAGAAGGCGCACAATTTGCGGTATTCGGTCCTCTCGAAAGACCAGAGCCACGGATCGTCAGACAAGATAACGTCTCCCGGTGCAAAGGAACAGACATAATCCCGCGGGACGGTTGGATACGCCTGGGATGTGTCCATTACAAAGCTCCTTCGATGAAGAAAACTAACTTAGTTGATTGTTGACTACAAGTCTTTCAGGCACTTTATAAGATGTGACACAGTAACTGATAAATGCTTTCAGGATTTTGTGTCTAAAACTTCCACTCCTCACAAGTAAAGCAGAAAATTGCAAAAGATATTGCTCACTGTTCAAATTCGAACTGTATTACAAGGCAACAGCATGTGCAGTTTCTCAGCTTGCAGTTTGCTGCTTACGCCCAGTATGTGCTAACAGTGGAAGGCGGATACAGCAATTTAGTTACATATCTTACTCGTATATATATTATTATCATTTGGTAATGTCTTTGTAACTGGATTTAGCGCGAAACTCACAGAAGCATGGACACACTGGCATCCGCTTACTTCTCAATGAGTTGTCTTCCACGGGATACGAGACTTTAACAATTTTGAACAATTGCTATTGAGAGACATTGCTATCAAAACTATCAGCAAAGAGCAGAATCGATTGTCTCAGGCGATTCTTTAACAGAAGCACCGGTAACATAACATAAATACTTTACCAAAAACAGGGTATGATGGTGGATCTAGGAAGAATCCACGGACAGACACAGAAACGGAATCTGTCCTGCAGAGTGAGCAGTGTTGTATACTACGAGTTATGCGGAAACGCAAGCCACCCGACAATCAACTGCACACTTTTATATCCCATTTTTTTTATAGCACTACACATGCTCCGCAGCATTCTGCTGCGGGGCCAAAAGTACAGCAAGTTACTCAGACGACGATGGCTAGCAACTGAAGAATCTACCAGATTGAAGATCTGGTAGATGAAGAAAATCAACATCAAAATACAGCAAAACAACTAAGCACCCGCACTGGTGCGGGTGGGCGGGGAGGCCACTCCTCCTCACAAGGGCTAACAACAACAAAATACGGCTGCTACAACAAAATGACGTTTTCTATTTTGTCCAGGTAAGGGAGAATTCCCATTCCGCAGATTGCATTTCTCCTTTGTATGTGTATAAGCAACCGCTGCCTAAAAAATTCCCTTACTGAGTTCGTCAGTTTACTAACGTAAGTACTTGTATACCTATGGCTATAACTTAATTTTGTTTTGTTGTGCACTTGTGCTCACTGTCGCACCACAACATGGAGTATTTCTAGCAAACCGCATTGGTTCACGCCGATTACAGTACAGTTATTAGATCACGACAAAACAGTAACTTGATCGATAATTCACTCAGTACACAAAATTAAAATATTTCGTTCAGGTTCTCTGCCGTTTTGGTAAGTCCCGAGCACTGATGCCGCCTTCCCTTTGGATTTCAGTGACAATCGCTGTCGTAAAAGCTCGTTTGGCCGAAGTCCTCTCCTATGCTGCTGCAGTCATAATAATAATAATTAATAATATCTCGAGACTTAAACGTTGAAAAGAAAACAGGTGAAGCGGCTTTCTCCCGTTCGATCATACAGTTTTTTGCCGATTTCCTTGCAACTTGCACGAAGCAGTTATAAAATACGTAAATGTAGTCAAAATGTTATTCGTTTAATATTCAAATATATTCAAAATAAAACTTATTCAAAATGTAATGCAATATTATGTAGATGTAAAAAATTATGTAATATAGATATTCGAAATATTATTATTTTATGTACAGCGAAGTACCCTAAACTGGTAGAAGTATCTGAACTGTGAATTCAATTGCTGAAAACAGGAAGCAAGTATTAGTGTAAGAACTTGCCAGTCAAATTTATGTTGCACGACTGCGTGTCACATACCAAAACATTGACGTACTTCATAACTGTTTCGTGCAAGTTGCAGTGCGTGCAAGGCCACAGGTACGGATAACAGTTTAAAAAAAATGAGTACATATAACTGTGAAATTGATTTTGCGGGTTTACAGCAGCCGAGCGCATATCGGATCTCTTTCTAGGCACGTACTATCAACAAGGATCGTCATCTTTCATTTCCGATTGCAAAAGCTCAGTTCAATGTTGCTGAAAACAGATGAACTACACTTCGAAACTGACGGAAAGGAGCACAGAACAGTGCGAGCTAAAGTTTCGACTATGCAGGCACCCAACGATGCATTATGAAACCATTCAGAGAGGAATGAAAGGCACCCTGACCGGCCGGCCACACGTTTTTTCTTTCAACCGTTCAAACCCCTGACTGCGCTCACCATATGGCGCAAGGTGATATCGAAATATCTTCCCAATTCTCTCGTTCTGTCAGAATAACTGGTGCTGGATGAGCTGTTTTTCATGACCTTTAGTATGTGGCATTGTATGGATATCAGATACGGAAGACAACGTGCAATGGAACGAGATGGCTGCTGAATGCACAATGGCACACGAACTCGGAGTCCAAGTTCATTAATTTCAGCGAATGTGTGAGTGGTAAAAGAGGGAAACTCTGATTACGTATCGCACAGAATACTGCACCAAACATCTATTGTCTAGTAATGTCGTGAGTATTACTAGTACTTGCTTTCAGATCTTCTGTGCATTGTAAGCGCCCACACTGCAGCGCCCACAGCAACGTTCAGAAAAAGCTGAACATTTGCGTGTACATGTGTTGCCATTAACTGAGCGAATAAAAAGGCATTTGGGGACAGTAACGGTACCACATTAAGTTGCTGAAAGGTTGTGAACATAGCATCTGCTATGTCGAATATTACGAGTAGTGTCAACACTTCGCTCTTAAACGCTATTGTAAACAGCACAGCAGACGATGCGACAACTCCGAATTTCCCTGCTATCAGCACAACAATCGTTTTTATCCTCAGCGTTTCGGCGAATATTCTCGTTCTTTATTTGTTTTATCGTATTAGTAACTTAACTAAAAAGCCTTTTAATGTTTTTATGCTCAATCTGATTATAACGGATTTTATTTATTGTGTTTGGGAAAATGCCTTCGACATCGGGATTAACTTTTATCCCGGCTACTGGAAAACCAGAAATTCAGCTATTTGTTCAGTGTACATCTACAGCAACTACCTTCTACGTAAGCGAAGTTCATATAAGCGTGTTTGCTATAAAAACTGATTTGCATTCTCATACATTTTGCAGAAGCTGCAACATGCAACGCGCATTTGCTTATTACTCTCAACCGGCTTTGGGCCATTTTATTCCCACACTCCTATAAGACCAACCAAAAGGTCAGCGTTTTTGTTGGAATCTGTGGAATAAAGTGGGCATACCTCCACGTCGTAATGATGCCCGGCTTTGTCAATGACCACCTGTACTATCGGAAGGATGTCACCATTAACGGCTGCTTTATCAACCTGGAAGCCCAACCCACATGGAATGTGACAATGATTTTTCTCCTCTTCATTGTCCCTTTATGCGTCATGGTGGTGGCGTTTCCTTTTATTTTCTACAAGCACCGTGTTCGGCAGAACGAACTGCGTCGTCTCCGTCCATCACCCAACTCCAATACAAATACCGCTACGCTGCAAAAAGCGATCAGCAAAGCGGCAGTGACTAGTGAGAACATAACACTAAAGGAACCGCAGACTGCGGAACAAACAGAGGGTAAGGCCATTGATACCCGCAAAAGTGAAACTTCAAAAGCCAATTCCCAGCCAATATTGATACTGACCCTGCTGACGCTGAGTGCCACAATCTGCTGGACGCCCAACTTCATTGTGTACACTTATTATACATTCGTTCCTTTTCCAGATGATCTGACGATTTTTAGTGTGGTGACCTTTTTGTACAGCATACAGCTGCTCATGGATCCCATCCTATTTATTGTTGCTTTGAATGACCTGAGAGCTGCATTTTTTCAATTATTTACAACAAAAGGCTTCATACTAAAATAAATTACATAAAGCTAACGCACTGACAAATGACTAAACGGTAATTACGGCCTTGACTAAACGGAAATTACTTTACCTGTATACTTACCAGTTAAATTTGAAATCACAAGTGCGAAAAGCGATCGGGACGAACACGGACCCAGAATGCGTTATTTTAGTAAGTCTTAATGTGGTCACCATATGTTTCGATAACTCGGACTACTGAATCCCGATTAGGTATTGAAAGTCCTGCTGGAACTAGGGCTGCTGACTATATCTTTAACATAATTCTTCCAAACTTTTTGTATTCCAGAAAATAGTAGCAGATTACACAAGCTAATTAAAACATGTAATGAACCATCCGCAACGTAACAAACCGTAACGCATGTCGACGTTTGGTAGTCCGCACAAATCGTACCACAGAGAATTCGTACAGTCACTACAGTGTATATGCCTATACGACATGTCCATAAAAAAGTTCTACACCTTAAAAAAAGCGAAACTTCTACACCTTTATAATTTGCAGCGTGGAGGTATGTGCATGTACAAAGGGCATGTATTTAGAAGGACCAACGTTTAGATATTTCCCGTTTAGGATACGACCTGAGAGTAATTATTATCGGTTTTACTGTTTACAGTTTTCAGTTTTACACTCAGTATTCCAGCAACTTGCAAATTACTTCTACCGATGTAGAGAAAATGCGGATAAATACAGAAAGGGACCTTTTCAGAACGTGTGCATGAGACCTTTGACTTGCGTGACGCTCCACACGTAATAAAGAATATGGAGACATTAACGCCAATTTTTACCAGTGGTTGGTGGCAGTGATTGATTATGAGCTACGAAAAGGTATAGAAGATAACTTTTAACACGGAGGTGTAAATAGAAAGCGCTTCCTTTTTCCCTTTCCAGACTAAGTCACCATGGCTCTTAAAAGAAATCAAATAACTCGCAAAAATCAGATTTCTTTGCTTCCATGATGTAATAAGGACTTGTTCACGTTACTGCGACGCTGCAACAAATTAAATTTGATGACATAAAGAATATTGATCCTTAGCATCTTGGCCTAGCATGCATCTGTACCATATCAATATCACCCGGAGCATTCTTTGGGCATAATCAGTCTATATTTTCTAAAGCACAAACTCTGAATGAAGAGAGCGATAAAGCGTGTAATATTAGGAAGCTTTTTTACAGTTTGAATAAGAAATTGTTTCGTTTTTCAGCCAGGCCGAAATGGGTATTGTTACAGCGAACAAAATCGCTCGAGCCGCAAGGAAGGTTAATGGCTTGAGTTCGATAAAAGAAAAAGGTACTGCGAGATTGGTGCTAAGGAAAACAGACCAGAAAGTCCAAAATTATTAGTTACTTACTAATTTTGTTTCACATGCTGCTGCATTTTCACTTACTTCGTGTGATAATTTCGTAGCCCTTTTACTGTAGTTCTAACAAACATTACACTTTTTCAGGAGGTTTTATAAAATTGGCACATCCAAGGTTTAGTTATCTGCAATTTTACGGCAAGAATCTCTATCAGAATTTTCCAACAGTAGCCTTTTATATACCTAAGTTAACGCTAATGTATCGAGAAACGCTAACGAGGTGTTGGGACATTGGCCAACCCAATGCTCAACTGCAAGGTCTCAAGGTAGCTGCAGAACATGCTCGACCACCGGAAGGAATGCTTGCTGGCAAAGAATGCGGATTTGGGGTATGCAGAATGCACCTGGTGCGCGCTCGCTCCAGGAACCCTGATTCGTGGCCAGGGTGTATATGAGAATGCGAATGCTTGCTGCGTTTCCTTCCGGTGCGGTTCCGTGCGTACCGTGGCGGGAGAGAGCAGTGAGATGGGTTGTGCCTTTAATCAATGTACAAGTTGCTAAAGGGTGGGATGGTGGGTAAAGAAAACACACCAAAAGTCACTCACAAATATTGCAGGTGGAAAAAACAGAAAAGAAATTTACCGTACAAATTCTTCAGCAACAAGAAAAGAAACCACAATTATCAGACGCAACAAAATGACTTCAAAATGCAACTCTGCTATAAAGAGAGATATATGCACAACAGCGTGATGAACAAAGGCAACATGGCGTCTGGCAAGAGGTCAGCCAATCACTTGCATTGGGAATGGCTTTGCGGATATTTAGGGAACTTTCTAGAGGCCAGCGTTTCTCTCAACAGCGTTAACCTAAGTTAGCGATATAATCGCTAACTTCTATTAGTTTTAAGCTTTGTGTTAATGGCTGGTGTGAGGAACCTTTCCCTGATCAATGCCACTGTGAACGATACAGCTAAAGATGCGCTGTCCATAAATTTCCCGCTGTCAGCACGACGATCGTGTTCAGCTTCAGCGTATCCTTTTAACGTGTTTATGCTTAATCTGATTACGACTGATTTTCTCTGCTGCCTTTAGAATAGCGCTGTTGACATTGGCATCAACTCTTATCCAAAATACTGGAAGTCACGAAATTCTAGAATTTACTCCGTTTATCTGTATTGCAATTACATTTTGCGCAAGTCTGCATAATTATTATTTTTTCTTTAACGTTTCCTTTGCAGTTTTTCAGATCCGTTTATGGTTTTTATTAAAACCAAAAACCGTTATTAATACATATTAGTACGACTTATTGGCATAGCTGATTATGGAAACGGTCAAGATCATTGCTGTTGAAAGTGTTAAAAGCGCATTGCGCCGTCAAGTGGATATACGTGCATGTGGTAATGATGCCGGGTTTCGCTAGCCATGACCTTTATTACCGCCTTGATGTGTCCACTAACGACTGCTCCGTAAAACTCAACCAAGCTGGCGCTCAACCAAGCTGCACAGTCATCACGATTGTTCTCTTGTTTATCACACCTTTAAGTGTTATGGTGTTTGCACTCCCCTTTATTATTACAAACACTGTATACGCTTAATGAACTTCGTCGACTACGTCCAGCACCTACATACATCGCACTGTACCAACCTTACCACGAAAAGCAGAACTGAAATTGTAAAGAATGTTGAAAGTGAATGTCAAGATAGCGTAGAACAGTTCACGGGCGTCAACTCCCAGATGCAAAAGCGTGAAGGCCTAAAGGCAATTCGCAGCCGATCCTAATTTCGACCTACTGACAATCAGCGCAACCATTTGCTGGACGCCTAATTTCGTCGTGTACACTCTGTACACATTTTTACCGGCTTTGGATGACTCCACAGCTATACTGTTGTAAGCTTCCTTTACAGTATCCAGTTATTAATGAATCCAATTTTATTTATCGTTGCGCTGAGCGATTTGAGAAGGGAATTCTTCCAGATCATTACACCTTTGCGCTCACGTGCACGACAGACAATAAAGTAGAACCTATTCTATGGCACACGACACAGTGGAATGTTCCCGAGGTCATGTTGTTTAATCAAGAAGAAAGTGATCATCCTGTTTTGTTGCCAAAATGCCGCAAATTTGGTGTTCACTTTCCTCTTACCAGTTCCATTTTACGTTTAATGTTTCGCTGTTTACCCAAACAGGCGTGACGGTGTGACCTTAGCCTTCCTCGCATTTCAGCACTTTCCGCTGCCCTGTATTATTTTGCATTACTAAAACGGCTAAAAGAATTATTACCACTTGCTACACGCTGCAAAATGTGCTAAATGCCTGCTTTCACTTAACGAAATTAATTTTCAGTGAAGGAAGAATTCGGTTATGTAAGGAACTTATAATTTTCTCATTCTGCGTCAAACTCTAATTAGGGAATTTCCGTTCCGCAGATGAGTTTGGACATGAATATTCTCTTACGTCATTGACAAGGCAGCATAATACACCGGCAAGATTAAAAGATTATTGCAATCTGACCGTAACTGTTATTCGTGTTTCCACTTCAATTTCGTATTAAACACTTCTACTCTTAATGTAATAATATGATTACTGATCACCCACAAACAGCGGAAGTCATTTTCACCAGAGACACTGAGAAAACAAGCAGTTAGATGACAGAACGAAAAATATTCTGAAATAGATTAGTAATTTAAAATGAGACAAAACCACGACCTGCAATCAGGTGAAAAGTACTGACGATATATGTTGGTTTTCTCTGAATGACGGCGAACGGAGGATGTTTGTTTCGTCTTGGATTACGTCCATGGCTTTTTCATGATTAATCGCGCGAATTTAATATGTCTGTTTTTCACCGGCGAAAGGTTATTTCATGATCATTCTTTACGATGGCGCAAATGATTGAGCTTCTCAAGGTTTCTTTCCATAATTACCGACAAACGTATGCGTGATTTTGGCAATCATATAAAAGCGAGTGACCTCTTTATATTCCATGTCAGTGGTATCTCAATTACAGGCGCTACTGCTTCCCTTGATATCTTTCTTCTTATAGCGTTTCATCACGCATAAAAATTTTCTTCTGGAGTTAATCAGCTGATACGGCATTTTCAGATCACTCAATGGCCGCAAACAACAGTAGCGTCTGGAAAGGTAGCACGTCGTCCAACGGGACGAAGGAAAATGAAAATTTCATTAGCTTGAACTTTGCTGGTATAAGTACGCCGATACTGTTTGTGCTCAGCGTGTCTGGTCACCTGCTGGTTCTGTACCTGTTTGTTCGTATTAATAATGTCAGCAGGAAACCCTTCAATGTTTTCATGCTTAACTTGATAATAACCGATTTTATTTACTGCGTTTGGGAGAACGCTTTCGACATCGGTATCAACCTTTTCCCAGATTATTGGAAAACCAGAAGTTCCACCATCTGTTCGGTTTATTTATACTGCAATTATACATTACGTAAGTGACATATCAAATCCATGAATTTGGCTAACTTAGGGTAATTTGGTTATTTTGCAGAAACATTTTTTCTGTGGTAAAAATTAATGTCCAGAAGATAGAATAAATTATTATTTGTCCAGAAGATATTATTACAATAAGCACGTTTATAATATTCAGGCGACTTTGCAAACGCGTCACTAGTTCGAATATCAATAATGCGCATAATCCATTGTCTGATATTTATTATTTTGCGTCGGTAGAGGCCGGCACTTGTAACGCCCACGTCCTCATAACCATCAGCCGACTGTGGGCTATTCTATTCCCGCAATCCTACAAATCCAATCAGAAAGTCAGTGTTTTTCTCGCAATGATTGCCATGGAATGGGCTTACATCCATATCATCCTCATGCCCGGATACGTTAATGACCATCTGTACTACCGCGAAGATGTCGCCGTCAACGGATGTTTCATCAACATTAACGCGCAGCCCACGTGGAACACTTTTATGAGTTTCTTGCTTTTCATTACACCGTTCTGCGTTATGGTATCAGCCTTTCCCTTTATTCTGTACAAACACCAGCAGCGTGCCAGAGAGCGCTTACGGCGCCACACATTCTCACACATCAACTCGGTCATGCCCAGCAGTAAGGTCACCAGTAAGGCCGACCGCTCGGGGACCATGCATAGCGATCATGAAAAGACAGAAGGGGAAGGTCAGCGAAGGAAAAGCGAAGCAGTCAAAACCAACTCCCAGCCCATACTGATCCTGACCTTGCTAACAACAAGTGCAACTATCTGCTGGACACCCAATTTCGTCGTGTATACATACTATACGTTTGTCCCGTTTCCGGAGGATCTGACGATATTCACCGTTATCATGTTCATGTACAATATTCAGCTGCTAATGGATCCCATACTGTTTGTTATAGCTCTGAGTGACCTTAGAGCTGAGTTTTTTCGCTTGCTTTCACAGTTAGGGTTACGAATTAAGCTCTAAAGACAGAATACGGAACCAGCTGTCAGGCAGATTCGGTGCAATAGAGACAGGAAGATGGTGCACAGCTACACAGACATAACACATTCATAATAAGCTTCGTATTATTGTGTACAATCATCGCAAATTAATTTTTCAAGTAACTCTTACTTTCATGTGTCTGGCTTCAGTGATCGCTAATATGTGCATGCGCTACTGCTGTTACATTGCTGCTAAACTATGATTATGAACCGCGCCACATCGTGTCCATTTTCTGAATTGTTTGACCTTTTGTTACCCTACAGCCTGGCACTTTTGGATACCGATATAACTGCTTAGTTGATTTCTAAATAAATCTTGGTAGTTAAAAGTATGCTTTGACCGGCTACGACAAAATTTTACCTGCAAATATTCCTGAAACCATGTCCATTACAAAATTTTTCGATATTTGCTAATTGCACCTAATACAGAAATAACACTGTAAATAACATAAACGGGTGTATAAGAAAATAAATTAAAGGAGAAAGTGTTAAAAACGTGCAAGATTTAATATAAAAGTATATTAATTTTATCGTTTAGAAATTTGTGCATTTGCATAGCTGGTTATGGTTTCAAGTTTTTTGTCGCGCCGCATAGCTGTGTATTGCCGTGATAACCAGTTCAAAAGTCGATTTCGATTGTAGGGAAACACGATCCGGCGGTGGTGTTATTATTGATGACCTTTATACCGGGTCGCCCACGATCATATTTTATATTTAAACCGGCTAGGATCAAATTTTGTTTTTAAGAGAATATCTCCAGACCACCCCATCTGTGCGGTGCTAGGTCTTTGCGATAGTTCTATATTAAGTCACAACGTTTATCCTGTTTTTTAGACGCAAAGCGGCTCAACGTTGAGCAGTTGAACACTATAAAAAAACTCAAAATTCTCTTATGCGCACATTGTTAAATTTGAAATTGTGTTTTAAAGCACAAGTAAAATGTAAGTCATCACCTTTGATTGGAGCTTTAAATTAAAATGCTGTGACATTGAACCTGCCGGAAAGTTGGATCCAGAGCGACCAAGATTAACGATTATGGATTTTTTATGCAAAGTTCTGTTATAAGCATCATGATTGATCCCATAAACGGTGACATGTTGTACATAGCACCTGCAACGTGACTAACACTAATAGCTGCCAATAATTGTGCTTGTTGCACGTACTTGCGAGCGCGTTGCCTGATCAACCCGTTTTGCAATGTCCGTGAGCGAAAAGCTAACCCGAAAAATCGGTGGAAGTGAATTGCAAATCCAGGAAGTCCTCAAGGGAACAAGGCACTTCATGCTCCGCTCTTTTCCGGAAATTTACAGCATCAAAATTTTCGTAGTGCTCGAAAAAATTCCATTAACGGGAAAATTGCGTGCTCTGTGCCGACTCAACTTTACGTGCCTTTATTGCTTCGACAAAAGAAGCATGTGATAGACGTACGTACGCATCTTGCTTTCTTGGATACTATAACCACCCTTCTTGCAGCTTAAGATATTGTGGACAATACTCGCATTAAAATTTAATTACTCGAATCAGTTTTTTATGATAAATCGATTATTGCCCGTCTGGATGTTCCACTAGTTACAACTGGCAAGGTAAAATATCCATGTACTGATTGTGACATAAAAGCTTGCGCTACGATTATTTACGCGCTTATTTAGGTTATGGTGGGATAATTAATCTCTGCTCGAAAAGCTAATTCACTATATGCTAGGGCCACACTTCAAGTGCGATGCAGAATTCTTCGAACTTTTTTCGAATGTTAAACGCAAGCGTGACTTTGTCTTCAGTCCTTCTCAATGCGACATTATGTGACGCGTCTGCTTTGCTCTTTACGAATGCGTCATTTAATGGGACAACTGCACCGGCATCCGCGGTCAGCATCGCCGCTGTGTTTACCAGCGTTGTGTTTGCGCTAAGTGTGTCAGCCAACATTTTGGTGTTGTTCCTTTACTGTCGTGTCCGTGATTCGAGGAAAAAACCTTTCCATGTTTTCATCCTTAACCTGATCCTTACGGACTTAATTAATATACTGCATCTGGGAGAATTCGTTTGATATCGGTCAAGGCTTCAACACAAGCTACTGGATGACCAGAAGCGACTCCATCTGTACAGCTTACTTGTATTGCAATTACACTTTACGTAAGTAAAGTATATATAACGAAAGCACCATATATACAGTATGTATAAAGCATAGTGTAGGTGCATTTGCTCTGTGTAATGAAATAATGTATACCAGTTCACCATTTGACAGTAGGGATTGGACCATCCATAAGTTACTATGTACCGAGGAGGGCTGCAAGAAATGTGACTGGCCAATAGACTAAACACGGGAAAAACCGTAAAGAGTCTAGAAGGGGGATCAAATGTCTTGGGGAACCTGCGTACTTTAATTTACGGATGGATTCCTAAGCTTTGTAGCCAAAAATTTATTGAAACAAACGGTTCTGAATTTTCCGCGCACCGAAACCTTGCAAAAAAATATTTCTGGCCTAAAAGTGTTTGGAATATGTTGACAAACTCTTTTGTTACGATGCCTTTAAGTACGAATTGTGAGTTGTGGAGGAGTTTTTTGTTGTGCAAGAGGTCATAGAATTAAAATTGGGGTGAAGATCATAAAATCACGACTCCAACTAAACCCTTCTGATATTAGTATGGTTTCAGAAGCCTGTGCCAGTAACGCCCATATGCTGATTACCGCCAACCGTCTGTGGGCGATTATCTTTCCCGTCTCTTACAAAGCCAACCAAAAAATCCCGATCTTCATCCTCATCTGCATAGCGGAATGGCTGTACGTTCACATCATAGCCCTTCCCGGTCTCGTGAACGATGCGCTTTGCTACCGTCTGAACATCCGCACCAACGGCTGCATGGTCAACGCCATCATGCAACCGGCCTGGAATATGACGGTTGCCTTTCTGCTCTTCGTCTTTCCTTTATCTGTTGTCGTCCTCTCCTTTCCCTTTATCTATCACAAACAGCGGATGCGACTGAAGGATCGGCGGCGTCTTCGACCGGAAGTGTTATCCGTAAGACCGGTGAACGCCAAAATGGCAGGAGCAACGACCAATGCACATGCAAGCGCTGAAAAGACTGAATATGTAGATCCGGAAGGAGAGACAATTGCAAAACAGGGAAACGTAAAGGTCAGGGTCAGCGCCCAGCCGATGCTGATTTTGACACTGTTGACTCTTAGTGCCTTTATCTGTTGGACGCCAAATATCGTCGTGTATTCAATGTACACGTTCATCCCGTTTCCGGATGACACGACCATATTTACAGTAGTAACGTGCTTGTACAGTGTACAGTTAATTATGGACCCGTTGCTGTTTATTGTAGCGCTGGGCGAATTGCGATTTGCCTTCCTGGAACTGGTTCGATCCGCTTTACGAAATTTTGGATTGCGCTAATCAGTCGCCCGTTAATTCCAGTTTAGTGGCAGAAAAACATACAGTCGCTACATCGAACTAATGGACATTTCGTAAATAACCAGGAACTTTTCCAGTCATTTCCACGTCTGCGGCATGTATGACGTCTCTGCCTTCCCGTTTTGCTGTTCTGCTCTATCTGCGGCATGGTACTGTATGTTTGCCGTCACTAGAAAACACTCACTTTGCAGCTCTATCCAAATTAGCGAATATCGAAGTTTCACGAATCGGAAAACAACGATCGATGTACTTATTGGAATGGTATTAGTAGGTAAGGGAGGGAGGACTTCTAACATTTTAACCTACACACAATCAAGTGCAAAATTTAACCAAGCAAAAAATGCAGAGGTTGTCATTATAAACAGAAAACAAATGACAGTAAATGTATTTGCTCATGTTCGTGTTATTCTGCATTGTTCCGCTTTTTGGCTTTACATGGTTGTCGGGCGTTCTCTCGCGATTATTGCTGGACTGAAGGTACGAAATGCGAATCTTTTCCTGTGATCGCGCTTTATAATCGTCGTTATAGTTTAATCCATAAATCATCTCCTTCCGGTAGCATTTCATATTAATTTTTGAACTTCGATGTTCAGTATTATTATCATGATCAGTAATCTATGTAAACGTTTGGAACCGGGAACCTCAAAACGCAATCCTTGATAATAATTGCATCGAAGCTCTTACCATATAGAATCAAAGTCAGTGATGTTTATATACATTAGAATTGAACTTTGAGCAAAGATTCACAACAAGACGTAAACAGCAACATGTTCTAACTTGAAAACTTAACCGGACAATGTTAACCACACCCGCATAATATGGTAAAATGTAACTTAACGATGGTTGATCTGGCACTGGATTTCACATTTCACATGTATCTCACTCGGTGGCATTAAAAAGCAAACAGACAAAAACTACTGAGATCAAAGAAGGTATTTCTGCTATAATCATCTACTTCCGTCGACGGTAGTTAAGGGATTCCCGGGGTGCACCAGCATTGGCGTTGTACTGGTAGCCGGATGGATTACGGGCCAGTTCGCCGGTCAGGGCGGCGTAGAAGTCCTCTGTCAGGATTGGTTTAACGTAATAATTATTATATATTATAGGATGTGATAGTGGTTCATAGCGCTTAACACTTACGAATGCCGTGGAGTCCCATATTGTCCAGCATGTCATTGGTGTTACTGCGCGGCTGCTCCTTGGGCTTTTCCTTGTTGTCCTTCTTATCCTTGTCCTTGTCGGCGGTGCTGTCGTTCTCAGCGCCCTGGCGATTGTTGTCCTGGCGTTGCTGGTTCACGTTCATATTGCGGGCAGCCGGCATGTTAGGTCCCTGTATGTATATTATGGTAAAACGAAATGCAGCCATGTGCCGTTGGTATTATATTTTGTTACCATGTACGGGTTGAATCCCATTGGGTTGAAGCCGGGAGGACCACCCTGATAGTCCTGCTGCGGACCCATTCCGTTCATGCCCATCGGCATTCCCATGGGCATGGGCTGGGGCATAAACTGGGACACCACAACGCCTATTCGAAATAGTGCAATTTTACCAAAACTTTACTCACCCGTCACGGTGTTCCAGAGCAACAGATAACTATTTAAAATTATGTGTATTCAAATGTTTTAAATATTGTTTCTGTACATTTATATTGTCCTTCTTAAAAAATAGTTCAAAATAGTAATTAACCATTCAGGTAATCCGTAGTCGAATCGGTTTGGCGCCGGTTACGAAGCCATCTTATTATACAGAACTTCAGAATAAGCTCCAGTGAACCAAGTGCACCACATTGTTCCAATCATTCAGTGGCCTATTTGTTGTTAGTGTATCCTATTTCATTGTCCTAAGTTTGGAGGAACGTGAGATCGCAGAACGGCACTTACCCAAACATACGGCAAATAAGATGATAACAGTTTTCATGATGGATAATTATCCGTTAACAGTATCCTCCGCTTAACACCGTAACACTGGCTAAGGCGATGGCGAAATCACACGCATGAACAAATGCGAAATGCAATCCGGAAGTAGAACAGATGATGGTCGATCTTATATATGGAAGAAGATTCATGGTCAGCTGTGTCGGCGCAGCGCGGCAACATGCTCGACAACGTCGTGATGGACAAAATACACGGACGGGAAGCCGGCAGTAGGCCAGTGCTCAATCACAGCCGCCGTAGCGTTCGTTTTTTGTATGTCGCGCTCAATTTAATTGCACCGGCAATCTCTTCGCCATATTTCACTTATACACGGATATCAGATTATGCCCGCAAGGCGGAATCGGCCGTATCACCAGCATCCGACTGGCATCAATTCTGTCATGTTTTTCGCCGATCTCTCTTCGGTTTTCCGCCGCTACCGGTACCGCGATAACGCATGTAGCCAAAAATTTGTTATAAACCGATGCATTTTTGCAGCGCTGCTAAACATACGTGTGGATGTGGTTGAATGTGTCAATTGTTTGCATGTCAATGTCCATTAAGAAGTTCTCTTCATGTAAAACCGATGAGAAAAGAACAAGCTGACCGGTCAATGACAGCTGCCGCGTTATTTTTTAAAAGGGTTGTTTTCGTTTGTGGGCGTTACATAAGAGCAAACGATCATGTGATGCATCTGACTTCTACTTCTTTTTAGCAGATGCAGTCTAATGCTCAGAATTTCAATCGGTATGCTGATTATGAACCCACAATTGCGAAAATTAACTTCTAGGCAACAAATGTTTAATGATCTTTACATGGGCAAAAGCATTTCCGTATTTAAATGTATCTTTAACTCCAGAAAATTGCAGTTCTGTTGCATTTTTTGTTGAGTTTAGCAGACTTAGATAGGTGCTTTCTCCTTCTAAACATGGATACTTATATATTACTGAAATATTCAATGATGTGTTCGCTGACTTGAACTTTCGAAGATTATTTAAGGATTTTTTTCTGTAAGGAAGGCTAAAAATTCTTGCGAGTTTCTTTCTGATCAAGCGCCCTCATTAAAATATTTTGGTTTAAGAAGCATCTTTTCCAGGGAAATGTCTGGCGATATTTAGCACACCCGATGAAAACATAAATTTTGTACCGGAAATTACCTATTGAAGAAATCCTATCATGCGCATACACGACGCCGAGACGATTCTGAGATCAGTAATAAACGTGAACCTAACCTTGGCAATCAAGCGGACCTTGATGTAACAAACTTGTCAAGAAGCTGACAAAATTTATGTAATCTCCTTACATGAAGAATCCTAACCTGACTTTATCTATCTGCCAGCTAAATATGAACGAATTACCCCATAAACCGGTATCGTTGTATAATACTGCATCTCGCAAGTTTTATTATTATGTTGTAATACTTTGGCGGCGTGAGCGAAAGCTTTCAAGTCAAGTCTATATAATTTTTTTCCGAACACAAAAACAGTATCAAGTAACAAAACTGAAAGGTCGTGGCAGCATGGCGCTAGCGAAACAACGGTTAAACATGTAGGTCAGTAAAAACACGCTTCGAAACAAGAAAGAATAACAACAAAACAACTTTGGTTTAATTTTCGTTCAAAAAAGTATTTCGACTGATATTCAGCGGCGACGGCCAAATCCACCAAATCCACCCGAGGAGAAGCTTCCGCCTCCGAATCCTCCAATACCACCAAAGCCACCACCACTGAAACCGCCACCACCGAACCCGCCCAGACCGCCAAAACCACCACCAAAGCTGCCACCACCGAATCCACCACCGCCAAAGCCGCCACCGAAGTCACCTCCAAATCCACCACCCATATCCATTCCTCCTCCCATACCGTTCGGCCCATCAAGAGCACGCGCCATACCATAATAGAAATTTCCTGCGAACATTTGGATTATTTGCTCGTTTATAATTTAGTCAACGCAATATTTGTGCGCATATTTATGTAAAATTAGTGTAGTGTAGGGAATAATGTTGCATAACTAAATTCTCTTTATTCTTACTCATCCATGGACTGCATCCTGTATATATGTCAATAAGGGACATGCCACAATCACTTCCATATCCTCCACCGCCATATCCGCCGCCACCGCCTCCATAAAAGCCACCACCGTTACCGCCGCCATAACCACCGCCGTTATTACCGCCTCCATATCCTCCACCTCCATTGTTACCGCCTCCGTAACCGCCCCCACCGTTTCCGCCATAACCACCACCGCTGCGGGTTTCGGCTACAGGTTGGTTTCCGTATCCCGACTGCCCGCTTCCTGCATTGCCGCTCGATCCCGAAGTAGAAGATTGTTTATTGCCGCTGGAAGCGGAGCCGGCTGATTGCGCGATACCGCTCGCTTGGATAGCCGACGCTTTTGGCAGGCTAGCGGCACTCTGGCCACTGTTTCCGGCTTGTGAACTGTCTGCTTGATCATCGGAGTCATCATCGTTGGCTGGTTTTTGGGCTACCGCCACCTTGTTTTTAAGACCGCTGCTACCGGCGTTTTTCCCACTTTCCACATTGTTATCCATATTAACGGAGTTCCCGTTTGAAACCGAGGCAGCACCCTGCCCATTACCATTCATTATGTTATTATTAATGGGCTGTTGATCAACGAAATTGGAATTGACACCACTGACAAGCCCAGCACCGGGGCCGGTAATGATGCCACCGGACCGAAAGCCACCGCCCAGTCCTGTATTGGTAACAATACCACCCGATCGGAGACCGCCCCCGATGCCGTTAACGGTACCGAAACGGTTCACACCGACATTGCCGATGCCACCGACACCGCTGCTGAAACCGCCGCCACTAAATCCCCCACCACCGAGACCACCACCAAAACTGCTAAAGCTGCCTCCGCTAAATTGCCGCTTTTCGGATGTGCCTTTGGAGTCGGCTTTACTGATAGGCGCGGCGTCAACTTCATCGGCATCCGTATCTCCATGGCTCTTACTGATTTTGGCTGACCATATTTCAGTAGGAAATCCTGCAAATCGAAAGTTTGAATTCATATTAACGCAGTTTTCGCCCGCCCACCATAGAAGTATTACCCACGTAATTACTACTATATAGAATAAAATTAAATAGAGTTAAGAGGTTGGTATTAGGAATGCTAAGTATGGTACTCATGATGCTATAAAATGGTATGGATGATTCAAGAAATCAAATCAATTTTTCCAAACGATTTTTTATATATTAATGCAAGACAAAATAAAAATTTTTATTTTTTGTTAATAGAAAAATACTAGAACTCCTTAGTACCTATTAAAAATATAGCGAAAATCAATAACTTCATGATACCGGATACAACTTGGTTTTAGACAAAAATGATGTAGTGATACTTGTTTCCGGTTGGCTACCTTTGCTTTTATATCTATCCTGCAGAATCCCCGAAGATAATTCAGGTTATCTAACGTAGTTACGCATAGAATATGAATTTGGCAGGACATAAATTATTGAGAACACTCATTTTGATTCTGCTTTGTAAAATTGCGGTTCCAAGATTCTACCGGCATATAAATCATCCGAGCGATATGTAATGCGACCGCCTCTTCAAGTGTTACAGTTTTTTACTCGGAACATGTGCCAACTGTGTTACAATCGTAATAACACTGCAGGCAATCTACATCTTTTCAATGCCGTTATGAAATTATGCAAAACCTATGAACTGAAAATTCTGTGACGACGGTACACTCGTAAAATTTTGTCAAAGCGCTGTTTACATATTCGCGTACATTACTTACGTTCTCCGTTGTGGCGGTGTTATAGTTTTGCCACAGGTTATACTGGTATAATCGTCGTGCATCGGAAAATCAGACTTTAATATTATATTCTATGCAAAGTATATCATACGAAAAATTCCGGTTATCTCCAAAGCATTTTGGGCTCCTTTTCTCGATTTCTTCATTGGGTCCCATTTTAGGCACCGCAATAGCCCCGTATATTATAGGCACCCCTTTTTAAATTAATATGATATAATAAAGATAGATTTACTGTTCTGAGATAATAACACCGCTTTATTCAGATAATACTCGTAGTACAGTCACTTTTTTCTGGCGTCGATTTAAGTATCTGTACTCGAACATCGGGCTTTCCAGCCGATAGGACGATTCGGCACATCACCCAGCCTAGAGCGAATTAGTACCGTGGCAGGGTTGTAAGATTCGAGGACGTGGCCGCGGATACTGGCTGCAAGCATGACGCTAGCTGGGCACCGGTTTCGCCGGCTAGTACTAGTGAATGTGAATATCCGAGCGCCAACTCCCTTCTTTTCGTTTTTCGTTTTCGTTATGGTCCATGGGTACATTCGTAAAAAATCTTTTCGTTCTTAAGAGAAGGCTCCAGAGCTTCTGCCTTCTTGATCTTTTCGGACCATCGTATAAATGAATGTTTGGAAAGCGGCGATCTGGTATGTCTTAAAGTCTTTCTCGGATTCTTCGAAAGAAGGGTTATTCTTCAGGTCATCGACATTTTCGTCACTATAACAATACACGTTAATCTTTTGTCCATGCTGTAGTAAGCTTTTACGTTCAGAGCAGCCGAATAAAAGAATACAAGAATTAATGTCTAAAGATATAAAAAATATTACGATCACATAAGATTATGTACTTACGAGTCCATAATAATTCAAAATTGGTGTCTGTAAATTGTAATAAACAGGGTGCAAAAAGGGGTGCCTTTAATGAACCGGGGTTTTAGGGGGTGCCTGTAACGGTATCCTTTTTCGTTAACTCGATTTTTGTATTGGCCACAAGTATAACTATTACAAGTTTCTTGGGTGTTTAATACTGTATTAATTTTTTAAAATTGTCTCTGGGAAGCCAGGACGGCAAATAATGTAAGTAAACATATACTCTAGTACATCAATAATATGACAAGCAGTTCGCATGTACTGTACATATAGTATAAGTTAAGGAACACATAAGCAATTGTGGTACTATGTGAAATGTACCGAACTTGAAGTAATTCTGATTACTTCTTGTGTCACTTCCGCCTGACAAATAATTAGCAAGGAATAAGCAGATGCATATGCAAAAAGATGGGGTTAATTGCAGGAAATGTTACTATCGACGTTAGCACTTCCAATTCTGAACCTTCCTTCTGTCATTGGAATTTAAACTAGTAAAGGTAAAACGGCTAATTTTTACTTGCGGACCGTGAATTGCGGTCCGCAGAGCAATGCTAGTGGGTACGCAGTACCACGCACAACATCGTAAGATTCAAACTGACAACGCGTATCGAGCAGGAGTCATTTGGCCTAATGTGCCACAAATTTTGTAATCACTAGCGGTTTGTGTGCAGTAAATTTGTATGGCAAATGTATTGAACGGCGTCGCAATAAAGGTTTGTTTCCATTAGAATGAATTGTCGTAATGCGGTTACTCGGTTGTTACCATTTGTCATTTTAGCCATTCGTGGGCTGTGGATCTGGCGATTATAATGCCAGTACTGCGCAGTGCGCACAGTTTCGCATGCCAGTCCACGTATGCAATAACGTTTCCAAAACACTGACGACCTCGTAATTATTTTCGTACTGAATGTTGTAGTCACATCATTACGCAAGCTACGTTGCAGAGACGCATATAAATTAAATTGTACCTGCGCTTTTAATTAATGTGCGGTTTATTGCTGTATTGCAGCTGCAAACAGACAATGTTATCACGTAACGTCTTGTTGTTACTGCTGTACATGGTTTTATGTTCGTATACTAGTTTGAGATTGCTAACAAGAAAAACTAAGAATCTACTAAAACGCAAAAAAATGAATCGAAAAGGTCACAGAACGTACCCGTAAGTGCATCAAAGCCAGTTCTGTGGAAAAAGCGGTAACAGCTGTTCGTTACCAAACTGCACACTGATTGCCGGGACGCGGCGCTTAGCCTTTTATGAATATATAGCCGCGTGCCCGCCGCGCACCAGTTTTCCCCGTGATCAGTCGGGCAAACTGCCTACAACACAGGATCATTACACATTAACGCTGATCCCATTCAGGCCCATTGCATGACGATTATCAAACGCGCGTGACTGCCTGTATACGAGCATTTGTACGTGTTGTATCCGTCACTATGTAGCTGGTGGTCCAGTGCTTGTCTTCCCTTGATTACATCTCTAACAGTACGAATAAAATGCGACATGCATTCGTTCGGCTGCTGAGCGTTTCTCTCCCACTTCCTATTTTTCGTACAGTTGGAACTGTATTCAGCGCTTGGGTTTACGAGCCAACGATTACTGCAGATACAGAAGGCCGGTAATATCATGCAGTGTGCCGCTAGCAACAGATGGCGGTGTTCTCCCGGGTCTGGGTAGCCGACTACATCGTTGCTTAATGTCCGGTGAGAACCGGCAGTGCTTTTCTTACGCGACTTACGGGTAATTTGCGGAGCTACAGGCAGATGCAAATAGATTGGGTAAGGTTACTTTAACGCAACCGATCATTTTTACGTAAAGGTTACTTAATAATTCATTGTTCAAACAAGAAACTCTTTATTATCCTGAAGCCACATTAATGTGAACAAGGGACGCTAATATAATCGTTTGCAAAACTTCTCAAGACACTGCAGTGCAGGCGTATTTACGAGACATTGGATTAAGTTTATGTGACGTGTGTCCCTATGCGCACGGCAGCCAGAGACCGGCGACCGGCAAAATCATGTCTGGGAAATCTGACAGCGTAAAAGACACAGTGGGCGGATGTAATCTTTGTTGTTTGGCTGATTGTTAATTCCACATCCGGCCTACTCCGTTTCGGGGATAATAATACATCTCAGAATACTGTGTATAAGCTCCAAGTCACTGGCATCAACAATAATACGTCTCTTTCACTCCAACAACCACCGGTATCGTGTAATATGCAGTGTATGCTGAAATTGTAATCCAGTGGTTTTGAAAAAACAACGGCAACATATCATGGCATTCAACTGGCGCGTAATTGACAGCTAACTCGCACCCATATGCAGACAATTCCCCATAATGCACACACTCACATAACCGGCACGCAGAGGGTAGCGAGCAAATGCAAATCCCGCGTACATGCTGCCGCGCACACACAAGAGACGCGAGGAATATGGCGCAATCTGGACACAGCCGCTCAACGTGATATAACACAATAGCCGGGTTACAGCTGGTATGATCCAGCCGGATCAGAGAACGGAAACGGGATCATGCACACCTCCTACCCAATATGCATTACTAACAGCGAATAATACACCGGATACACATGCTATCACGGCAAAAATAAAATATTAATGCACACGACCTTGCTCTTCACTTACGGGTACAATAAAAAATAACAACAGTACTCTGATTAAGCTTACATATGTGATGTAAAATAAGTTTATGACGTAAAATTTGTATGATGGACGTTTCTACACTGACGAAGTACGAAAAACATCAGTTTTTGCACAATGGCTGTCAATAGTTTTCTAAGGTCACCATAACCGTTTTCGCAACGGGAAAACCGTTAATTTACGGCTGGAAAAAAAGGTATGCTGAATGACGGTACGGGAAGTGCCGCGACGGCCACGCCTTCATATGATGATCGGCTTTGGCGTTGGCGCATTGTCAGTGGTTGGTAATTAGCCGGACACCCGGAAGTCGCACAAGTTCCCATCCGCTAAGTCTTCCGGCTGATAAAACTCTAGCTCAACTGCCCTGCGCAGCAATTGGCACACACACACCGGCAAAAATTCTCAGCTGCATACCGTTTTGTAAGTAGTGCTGCATAGGACGCCAGTAACTATGCAGCCAATCACACTGCTCCCAGAGCGCCGGCACACGCGCGCCGCACCCCCGGCTCAGATGGCCTGCCAATATGAATTGCTGCACACTTCATTAATACTTTCCAAAACTACGTCGAGTCCTGCCATGGGCTTGCCATCGCCAGGGATATCGGCCTTAACTTTTTCCCCTTAACTGAGCAGGCATCCAGATTATACATACATAATATAATGCGTGGAGGCCATATACACGTATTATACTGAGTTAGACTCCGCGTCCATTTCATTGTTCCCGTACATTAGTTCAGGAATTTAATCCACCGACTTTTTGTTTGGTAGTGAAATAATTCCAACGCAGGGTGTCACAACCGGAAGGAGAAACCGGCAATTTGTTCTAAGAGGATGCCGGCGCATATGTGATTGTTTGGCTGTGCGCGCTGCTGCATAGAAAAATCGGCTTTTCATCAGTCAGCATCGTGGCCGCGGCTATTCAGCCCCGGCGTCTCATGCGCTCTATTCAGATATTTTGCCATCCTAGTTAACCGGTTGTTGAAGGATATTTTCACACATGTGGATTATATGGATGGGATATTGATGTGTCAGTGGGAAAATATGTTTTTCTTCGTAAGTCCCTTTTATATGCGAACTGTAACCAATCGTCCGTATTTGTGATGCGCAATACGGAATGACTAAGGGAAACGATGGAGGAATTTAGAGCCATTTTTGATTTTTAATGGTGATCATAAATTAGCCTCTTTTATTGAAATAATTGCTTTGGCAAATGCTACAAAGTTTTGCTTTAAGTACGGCTTCGCAAACGGCAGTACAATGGTAAATTGTGGCTAAAAAAGGATGCCGGTATTAAATATTTAACCGTAAGAAATTATGCGCTTTGTAATCGTGTTTGGTTAGTGAGCCATATGAATCTAGAGAAACATTCCCGCTCGTGAATAATCGATTACCGTACACCAGTACGTAACTTGGGTGAATAATGTTGTATGTTTCACACGGACACATCTGTAAACTATAGTAATACTGCCAAGCGCAGTTTTCGCCGGACACGTTCTGCACTGATCAAAGACTGCTGCAATACATTTAATTTAAATAACTTTTCTTTTCGCCGATTATGTATTTCTTCACAGTGACATTTTCTTATTTAGCCCGGTTTATTCGCTACTAGGTGTTTAGATATATAATTTTTAATCGCCAATAGCCGTTCCACATAACAAAAAAGCCTGCGCTAGGTACGACACTTATCAAAACGATTACATTTTTAACTTTTAAAATACATCCAAAGGTGTTAGATTGATTGTGACCTGCAAATGCGTAAAATTGGTGGAGATGATCCCGACGATATTAAATTTTATCTTTTTGCACGCAGATCTTATTCTTTACATGTTGTGCGATATTATTGTTCTACAACTGCACATGCAGAAAATATGAAATTACTTTAATTGCAAACTTCAACGAATATACTCGTACCTTGTACTGAGATTTTGTAAAATCAAATAGTTACATTGTATGATGGTTGGGCTAGAATTCGAAACTGTAGCACGAAAATGGTACTTTAAGCCAGTACAAATATGTGGGTCACGTAACGTTTGAATTATGCAATCTATTCACGTGATTCTTGTCCGGCCGAAATCGAATATAAAATAATATATTATTGTAAGCATACCTTCTTGTGTTATGTCTATAATTAAACGCTGCAAATCGTTTTTTTAGCGCATAATGTTCAAATACATAGTAGCCATAGTGTATACAGCTACACACCACAAATAATATAGAGCAGTTTTTGGACAGAAGTGCTTGTGCTTGTCACAATCGGCATGTTTTTACGATTAATAGTTAACTACATACACGAGTACGATATCATCAGGAATAGTCAAAGTAAAATTTAGAACATTTCCTTTATGTAAAGCGGTACGCATCCAAAACTGACCTTTAAAAAACAAACTGTGATTCAACAATGATTATACTATAAAATTGACTGATCAAATTTTTAATACCATGAAGTTGTAATTACGTATGTGCATGCGTTCGATAAATCACTAGATGCGACATATTACTAGGCCAAATTCATAAATAATTTGCATCTTAAGTTCATGTACGAATTTATTAACGTTCACTTGGCTTGGCGTTCAAATTATTAGGTTATTATTATTAAATAATAACCTAATAATTTGTCCTTCATTCTAAGTTATAGTTAGGAGAGTTTGCTTATAAACGGCATTTTGATTGTTACAGGGAGGAAACTGAGCGTCCTCTGTTGTTCAACAACCAACCGATCTTTCCACTTCGCATATCACAGTGAAAAAAAACGCGAGGAATATTTATCAGGATTACTGTCCGGGGCACTACACATTTTATATTGACAATCTGGAGTGCTTGCCGGTATTAATGATCCTTGAGAGGTTATCTCCGTAGCAGAAATATATATACATGTAATTCCCCAGGCCGTGAATCTCCCTCTATGCAACTCTGATCACAACTGCCTCTAGCGCTGCACACTTGTCCCATCGCGCGAGTCCCAGCCGTAGTAGTAGAGGCAGCGCACTAGGGTACCCTAATACGTGCGTCTGCAAATGGGCAACCGACAGGCTTCCCCCACCGCTGATGCAGTCCAGACGCACTCCAGCCGGCGAACATCCAATGCTTCCAAAAGCCCCTCCACCTTCTCCCCCACCGCAGATAAATCGACACTTCAGCTGAAAATCCACACTCGCCAGTCGGTGGACAATGGCCGCGGAGGCGGGACACCCTCGGGCAGCAGTATGGGCGGTGCTTCCACTCCGACGGGACAACTCGTTTCGCCGACCGCGGCGTCGGCATCCGGATCGTGGCTCTCCAGTAAAATCACCTCTTCAACGACTTCCCTACGTGCTTTGTTCAAAAACAAGGTAAGCGGATAAGTGCTCTAGAAGCCTCCTTTTCGGTAGTATTTTTGTATCTTATTGATTTCTTGTTAGTACACGAACTGTTAGATTGTAAAAGAAAGGTCCAAACTGTCTTTTGCTAGTCGCGACTCGCAGCGTCCAAGTGTATCAAAATAATTACTGAAAATTTTTGTTGTGATGTTTTTGTCACTATTGGTTGGCAAGAAGAAATATACACAGAACCGTGCAAGTGAGTTTTCGTGACCGTTTTTTTTGAGGTCATGGTCAGTTTTGCGCTTTCTTGATAACAGCTTGCAGATGCTTATGCCGGTGTTTGGCGAATTGATGACTGTTATTATGTTGTCGCTGAATTTATTAAAGTTAATTAGCACTTTTGTTCGTCTGCATAATGCTCGGTCCTTGTTGTTAAAATTTTAAATATTTTCTTGGGTTTCGATTAGCAGGGGTCGTAGCTGTGTTGTTATTACGGTATGATTTTACAAGGAACAGAGAGGTGTGAGAATCACAACAGTGCCGGTTACGGGCGTATACATGACTGTTTAATCTGTATTGCACAACACACAAAAATGTCAACAGGGAACCGAAAGCCGCTTGACGTCATACCGATTGATATCGCTGACCGTGCAGTGTCCGCGGGAAAGTAGACGGAGGAACAATTAGGTCAGCGAGTGGCGAATATGTAAACTGATTGACGGTGCATGACGCCAGTAGTGGGCGGGCAATGTGCCGGGAAAGGGATTTGTGTGTACAGTGTGTGCCGAGGCTCACACATCGCGCGCGCACTGCAGCCGCAAAACATTTCCGTGTGATGCGCACCAGCTGTCAATGCCGCGCGCGAGCTGAAAACATGTACATTGGGACGGCGAAGATCAGTGGGAAAAAAGTCAGGCCAGGCCCCCGTTTATGGTTATGGATGGCAATTGAGCTGACGAGAGATCAAGCACCGCTATGACTTCCGGAAGCCGGAAGGTCTAATGGATATATCGCTGATAGACAACGCGTGGCATCATTAGTACTGGGAGTCCACCGACCACCGCCGCCGGCCAACCAATAGGATGCGCCATGCATGTGTACTAAAATAACCTGCTTTAACTGAATGGCTGCACGTTGATGTGGTCAGTTGGTCACTACTGACATCGCGGGCTAAGCAGCTGCAGTTTTTTTGCACGCTTAGGTGTTTGTAGAAAAAAATGTTCAGCGTTTGAAAGAACAGCAAAGCGCTATCGAATGACACCTTTCTAACTGTCACCTACACACTGAAGATTGGCCCAGTGTGCCGTCCTGGCGGACTCTACATGCAGACGTGAATTTGGTGCACCTTCTTTTTCTTTTATTACAATCATTCAAATAGTTATAATAATTCTTATGTTATTATAATTCTTATTAAATAAGACAAATTTAGTATTATGTTGGAATGAGGCAGTTGCTCAATGAATTGTACATGTATTGTACCTAAACAGCGGCACACCGAAAATCCATGAGACACTGCATAATTGCACGAACTCGTTGTTTATTGCTAGTGACCCTAGTGTGAATTGTGAAACCCAGAAAAGTTAGCCAAAAAAACGCAGCTGCATAAAATGCCGTTTAATCTGCATTCAACTGGTCATAAAACAATGCGGACGTTAATGCGCTTTTTTTGCAATAGGCATAATGATGCCGCTGAAGCGCAATGTTTTTCGAGTAAAAATCCGACAGATCCCATAAAGCAATGAAGCGGTGTAGGCCGTACTTAAGAGCGCATTATTCGGTTCAGTAGGAGAATGAAAAAGGGTCAATGCGGCTGCGGAGAGCGGATTATGATGGTGGTCCCCAGATGGTAGATGCGGTGGCAGGCGGCATTAGGCCGGCAGGGTGAGCGGCACGGCGGTAAAAAGGCTGCAGCTTGCATTACACTGCACCGCGCGCGGCGGGCGCTGTTACAGCGTCCGTGCGGTGCAGCACCGCATGCGCCGGCACCCGGTCGCTCCCATAACGACACACGCTCGCCTGGGGAGTTGGTGTTTTTTCTCCGGCTAGATCGACCTTATTGATGCGATCATGCCCAACGTTTGGCGGATGAACGACGACAACTAATAGCCATTGCGGCATGTTTTTGCCCGTGGACTAAAGTTGCAAGCTTCCAGAAAAATTAAGGCTTATGCGTAATAAGTGGCTGAAATTTGCTCAGTCCACCGCCATATGAGCGAGATCGGTTTGGTGGCAGGCGTTATTATTTCTGCCTAGTGTTCAAAACTACGGTTTCTAATTCGAATCAAGATTGTGCTAAACTTTATTAATGTCTAAAATTATTTGAATTGATTGAACGATATTACTGCTAGAACTTTAAACTTTTGAGCGAAATTGCAGCAAATGGGCTTAGTATACTGTATATTCGTACTGTATATATTATTATGTATATTATATATTATATGTGCTAGTACTGTATATTCGAATTCGCTATGTACTAATAAGTATCAAAAATTCGTTGTTACATGGCGGTAGTAAATTGTCAACGCTGTTTTTGTCATGAATAATAATTTTGAAGTCTAAATTAGGTGATTTTCAGTATTTGAACGTTAATCGTTAAATAATGTGTCCATGCCTGCAGTTTTTGTTACTCGGACGACTGCTGCCTGTTGAAATTATTACGAATTTCTCCAGGCGCACTCAGAACTCTGTTGTATGCTCTGTAGATTACAAATTCTAATACGGTAGTTACATGTGAATGTTGAGCCATGAAAAGTGATAATAATACAAGACAATTGGCGCATAACGAAATAAATCTGCACGTAAAGCATGACTTTTAAGAACTTTCTCTTTAATTTTTTCAGCTTAAATTAACTAGTATTCGTTGCTTGTTTTATATGTTATTTACTAGTATTCGTTGTTAACTTATTTTCTCCATCTTTTTATGGAGAAATAATGTTATAATACGATTACTGAATGCCACGTACCGCTTTCATTTATAAGTGTTTCTGTCTCTTGCTCCTTTGCAAGTTTTATAATTATTTTATTTCTTTCGCTTTACGTTCAGGTACTGGTTAATAAATTCTTAGCAGTAAGCACTTCATACGTATTATGCATTTGTCCCTGGGCTTTAACTTTAAGACTATGGTGAATATTGTTGCAACCGCATTATAATGTTTACAGGTAACTGTATCAAGGTTAATTAATGTTTTATGTTTATTATTTATTTTTGTGTTTATGTTTGATATATGGTTCTCCATCAGTAATGCATGTTTAAATGCGAAATCCAGATTAAAAAATATGTACCCTTTCGCTTACGTAACACGTGTTGTACTAGTGTAATGTTGATCTTTAGCCAAAAAGAAATTTAAAGCTTTCCAGTGTTATTCGTGCTCTTTTGGCTCAGTTGGCTGCAGCTAAATCTTCCGTAAACTGCGCTTGTAATACTCGGCAGAATTTCAATATTGACAAAAAAGGATAGAATATAAAAATTGCCTGGTATCATATCCATAAATCACTGACAAATAGCAGTGTGAATATGATAAGAAGAATCCCTTTATCGAGTCGTTTCCGGCCTAATGGTATCCCGAACAGGGTCTGCTGGCTTTAGATAACCAGCGCAGGCTATACTCTGATATACTTTGTACTTCGTATTCGTATCTGAATCGCTCCGCGCAAGTTGAACCCGTACTGTACCATTTGCAAATGTACAAAGTAGATGTGGCCGTTTTGGTAGCCGCCTGCGAAATCTTTGTTCTGTGTTGCGCTGTACTGAACGCCGCGCAGTACTAGTAAAATCCCCGCTGCAAGGAAACTCTAAACGATTCACGTAAATCTCGACTTGTTACACAGTTATTATCAATAATTACCGTAATCGCTGCAAGAGTCAGAGAGAAAGTGAATGAAATTTTATCGATTGTGCTTCTATCCTGTACGAACCTGCGATCATGTGATCGGCTAACAATCATGGGAGCACTTTTCATTTTTGTTGGCTATGAAACCACTTTAGTTTGTGGTCATCATTTTTATATATAACCAAACAAACCGGCGGCCGAACGAACCTTTTGCACGATAACGTCCAAGTATAACTAAACGATATTTTTGTAAATCCTGTGGAACGTACTATGCATGTAATATATTATTACCCCTAAGTGTTCTGTTAATTACAAACAAATGTTAAAAGCAAATGTTAATCGCAAGCAATCCTAAACACAAAATTAATTAGTGCCTGTAAGTAGCTTAGGTCGATGTGCGCTGGCTAAAGGTATGCCTGGCCTTGCAGATAGCTTCATATCGCATTTGACCTTTAAGGCAAACTTCTATAATAAATGCCGCAGCATTCATGCAGCTAGCACAATCAAGCAACAATTGCAAACAGAAGTACAAACTGACAACTTCAACTAATTTAAAACGGTAGCATCTGCCCGATTCTGCCGCAACGAGTACAATAATATAACATATAGTTAAAGCGCACCCCACGGAATATGTAAGTTAAATAATATAACCGATGCAACAGTACTTAGTTTTCGTCATAATTACTTGAATCATTTACGAAAATCCAAAAGTATACAAACTGTAATAATACAATGCGGAGTTTAAAAAACATTCGTGCTTGACGGCATCGCAAGCGTAGCTATAGCTTTGTGTTGCAAGGGTAGGTTGCTTTAACTGACCGACAGATGGCGCCACAAGAAGCTTTCCGTCAATCGAAAAATTAATATGGGTACAAGTACGTTACACATCGGAATAAATCGCCAAATCTCGGATCTGGAATGGTACATACGTGGTCCCGTTACTCCCGTAGGCCGTAGATGGCAGTTCCCCTGGGCACATCGATTTTTCTCCGCCATAACATTCAGTGTATTCTCTTGGTACAATCATGCATAACTGCATAAGGACAAGTACAGAGTCTGTACGGTATATCGTTGACCATGACGTATAACATTGGGCCCAGCCGGGGTGGCGGCTTCTGCCTTGGCTGCCGGTTTGTAAATGGTTTCCGAGATGCTGCAGCATACCGGCCTTGTTCAAAATTAAATTTTCCTTAATCAGTACCAGATTACGGATTATGTTTTAAAGGGGACAACGTTATAATTAGATCGTCATGACCTTTAAATCGTTCACCGTAAAAACAGCACACGAGACGGAATTACCTCTCCGGTCATATACAGTAAAGTTATAGCTTTACTAAATTTTTACCGTTCCACCGGAAAAAGTGTAGCATCAAAGGCAGAATTACGAAATTCGTTTAAAATAAATTCTATGAACACATCTGTTGCGGTTTCGCACAATGTTACAGTTAATAATAACTTGATATTGATGATTATCGGATAAGGTATTTCTATAACAACAAAAGTCGAAGAGTCTATGCGCCCTGAGTCTATGCGTTTTTATAATTTTATTCTACTAAAAAATTATGTAACAGAATTTACAGTCGTAATTTATGTAACCCACTCATGGTCAGTACTCGCCATTAATTTACTTATACAACCAGTGTAATAACGACTGTCGATTCGCAAAATAATTATCAATTTGAAATTTGAATATATACACTACTCACAAGTCACAAGTCAATTGATACGTTTCCTTGATCGGTACTGCAGCTTTTGATACGAGTAAGTGCTGTTACAGTACTCGTACTTTAAGTTTTGAAGGCTGTCGTGATTTCGCTTATAAATTTTACCATCGCAATTTCTAAAAATTATGGATCGTTGTCAATAAATAGGCATGCACACCTTTGGAAAATTGCTAACTTCAGTTTTACCGTATGCAAATCCCCAGCGGAAGCCAGTTTTGAACTACTTACTTCAATTCCCGCCAGTTCCCGGTTCTCATTTACATAGCGCTCCAGGAGCATAGGAAGTTAGGAACCAACCAATCAAACCGCTCGTACAGCCGTGACTCCGCCTACACTAGAAAGCATGCGTCGTTCCGTTTTAAACAGTTCGCAAAGGCACAGATCGCACACAACAACAACACACCAGCGATACACACAGTTCTAAATAACTCTATGGTTCCAGAGTACCCAAATTCTTCTTCCCACATTATTGTTAATCACTTGCTGACTTACATCAAAGTATTGTTACCTTTATCATGACGATCTTATGGCCCTTTTCCCTCTTTTCCTCACAGTCCTCCAGTCCGGCCCGACCAGCCAGTCCCCCGACGGCGGCCGCAGCGGGCGTGGATGGACGGAATCTGGGTGAGCCCGTGCCCGATGTGGACAATGCGCCCCTGGACGCGCAGGGCCAGGCCCCGCGCAATCGCGGCCCACCCCAGCCCAACGGGGCTCACGTGGACAATGCCGAGAATATTCTGGATCGGCCGCGACGCCGTGGCGCCTTCTCGTCGGAGACCGTGACGGAGGAGGATGTGGCCAATTATGTTAAAGCTGTAAGTTACAGTGACTCTAAGACAGCAGTAAACAGTACATGATTGCATAATAGCGATGCTGTTGGATGTTGCTGTGCTCTCGCGATATCGTTAATGGTTTTGCACGAAGATTAAGTAATGATTTTGGGGGGTTAGTGTTGCGTTGAAACCTTGCGAGTCATGTGCAAATGTTATTCCCTGCTTGAGCATGTCGACCGAAGCTCTTTTGTGGGACCTCATTTATATCGCGAACAATGACAAAGATGATTAATTTATCACTGGAGAAGTTGCTGTTCTGCTTGCCTTTCAGACTCATGCTGCATTTCTTACATTGAGAAATTAGCACAAGAAAGAGCGAACTACGGTATAAGTATGGCGCATGTTTGGGAACAGCGAGGGTGCACTGATTCGACTAACACCTTTTGGAACGTTGTAAATTTAACGGTTATTTAACGTAAAACGTTTCACTTTTGTAATTGCAAACATACGTGCAACATTCCTTTCGAGTAAGGAAGACGTTCTGACTGCATTTTATCCCTAGTGAATTTTTGTAAGCGAATATAATAGATCAAAAGTTCCCCCTACAGTTATGATTTTTCGCAGTCCCTAAGTAATTATGTTGATACTTCAATGCTGAATTTTACTGATTTGGTGAAGATTTAGATAATAAATTATAATTCTAAGGTTTTGTTAGACCTTGCATTTCGCTGCCATAAACCAGTATGTCAGCGTTTCAGGCTTCCACTAGCAGGTTGCGCGGCTTGTCCTAAACGATCCAGTTACACCTACTTCGATTTATTCTGCAATTGTGCACGATCTGTAGATTTACGCAGGCAGTCACACGCCCGCCTTACGTCGGTGTGTGCAGGATTGTTTATTCCACGAAAATACCCACGAACACGACAGCATAATAGGCATCTATATTTTTCTCTTCTCCTGCATAACCCATGGCTTGTGCATTCTCTTAATTTGCTTTTTCTTCCCACGCACAGGAAGTGGTGCCCAAGGATCCCCAAACGACCGAAGCCCTGTCGCGCGCTATTCAGAAGAACATTCTCTTTTCCCATTTGGACGACTGTGAGAAGAGGTTAGTCGGCATAGGGAATCAATACGGCACACTGGCCCATGTGCGTGCTGCTGTTGTGGAGCTGTATTGATTTTCTGTTTCTCCTGCACTGAGCTCTACCGAGGCGACAAGTTGGCTCGCTGGCTGGGTGAGCGCTGATGCTGATGAGGCTGCGGCTGTTCTGCTCCAGATTGACGGAAAAGGATGATTTGGCAGGCTTGACTGGGCATTCGGCAGCTGGTAATGATGTCAGCCGGGGAAATTTACATATGTAGGAAGGTCATTAATGGCCGTGCAAAAGGCAAACAGATTGCCCGGCTGCTCAAATAACCGGCCCACATTGGCTAAGTGTTTTCTTTGTTTCGTGATATGCGCTCCAAAAACCCGGTCGGTCGACGACTCTACAGCGAGCGAACGGCAAACCCAATCGTTTGATGCGTCGAATTTCGTCTCGCATTTTTATGATTTTCCTTTTAATTTTTCAGTATGCGCATCAACGAGCACCATTTATTGTCAGTAATAATAGTCAGTATATACAATCAATGAAGAATTTAACATGAGAAGGAACTATGCACTATATTATGATTGTTTTATAAAATGCGACTGCACATTGCGAAATTAGTTTCGACTTCGCGTTGACACTTCTTGCTAGATCGGTCCGATAGGTAGATATTAATTCGCGTAGTCTGTTTCTCTGGAAGTGTTCGTATATTAATCTGTGAGAGAATTTCAAAAACATTCAGCAAATCGAATCATCTAATGTCAAGTTTGAAATGCGATATTTGTTTACGTACTTCCAAATTTTGTTCCCTCTTGGTGGGCTTGTGTGCGCAAAAACCGAAATAGATGGTTGGCAACTTGGCACACCAGTGACACTGACGGAGTTTAGAGAATAGTTATAATACGTACTGTTGGTTGTAACTTGCAAGTCTTGATTTGTATTTATTTAGTATGTCGGGCTTATTATTGTTTGTATTTGCAGAGATATTTTTGAAGCCATGTTTCCTGTGGAATTTTCCAAAGACGAAACGATCATTCGACAGGGCGACGAAGGCGATAATTTCTACGTTATCGAAGCCGGTCAAGTGGATATTCTTGGTACGAAAAAAGCAGAATAATATGAGAAAAGGAAACGACAGGGACGGTGGTGTATCATATGATTGAACTGTCAACAGCATCTCCTTCAAACGCTACACATTATCTCGTAATTCCACATGTGTAAAATCAATATTCAATCCAATTTCGCTATCTTTTTCCTTGCTCACCCCTCAGCTTGCTCTGTCTGATGATGTTAAGTCGAGGGAATCCCATAAAACCCACTCGTGTGCGATTGGAAAATCTGATTCAGTTTTTGCTGCCAGTGGGAGTAGACTTAAAACTCTTCACTTAGGTTTATTGGCAATATTCTACCAGAAATTAAAACGGAAAACGTAGCCGCGAGAAAACGATTGCAGTGGAATTTTTTTGTTACAAGCGCTTAGACCTTTATTAGTGTAACCTTTCTCCGTTTCTCGATTGTAAAGCAAGTTTGCAAAGGTGCAGATTTTATCATGTGGATATTTTGTACGGGTGTACAAAACAAATTGTTTACTTCGTACTCATACAGTGTTTAGCTACCGTTTTGCCGCCCGCGGTATACTGTATTTAATAACGGGTAAATACTGTAATTCTGACGAGTTCTCGTACATAAGTCGGAAATCGCAAAATATGAGCGATTAACATTGATGAAATAACTATCATTAATACGGTACATATCCTGGCACTGAAAATTGCGAAAACAATTAAATAAAACGAATTCATGAGATATTTTGCAAAGTTTGGCTGTTAGAATGGTGTGTTTTAAGGTGTAGTTCTGATAAGATATTAGTTCTAGTATACTATTATAAATTAATAAAATTATTTATTTTTCAGTTAACGAGGCCTACGTTGGATCGTTAAGCGAAGGTGCATCATTCGGCGAACTGGCACTGATCTATGGGACACCGCGTGCTGCAACAATTATTGCCAAATCCGACAAGGTCAAATTATTTGGCATCGATCGCAACACATACCGGCGCATTCTGATGGGCAGCACTATCAGAAAGCGGAAGCGCTATGAGGAGTTCCTTAGCAAAGTACCCATTCTCGGTAAGCGGATCGGTTAATCTTTAAGAGTGGTCCTCGTTGGTCAATAGATTTCCTTAGAGTTATATAAAATCAAGCCGGAATTGTTTTGGGAGGTTACTTGCTTATACGTCATGATTTGCATGCATCTGCATTGCAGAGAGCCTCGACAAATGGGAACGTTTGACAATCGCTGATGCATTGGAACCTTGCTCTTTTGAAGATGGACAGACGGTTATTACGCAAGGCGATCGCGGCGAAGATTTCTTTATTATTCTAGAGGTAGGTCACGTCGCGATTTTTAAAGTTTTTTTTATAGCTAATTCGTTTTGGTATATTTTTTACGTTTTTTTGGCATGTGGTAAATTAGGCCAGATGCTTTACAAAAGGGCACCTCTACTAATCTGCGTTTCCGATTTTGGCAGTGGTATTTTCGAAGTAAAGGCTTCCATTGTCCGAATTTGACTACTTTTTGATAATCTACGCATTGTGATGCTTTATGACTGAGATAACGAAATCGTTTTGACGTAGTATGGCTGCTGTCTTATCAGTTGCACGCCTTGATAGTGGGACGAACAGTTGCTCTGACGTATTGTTAGTTTCTCATCAGTCGGAAACAGTATTTCTCGGGACACCATCTGATCTTTAATTGAGCATTTTGTTTTCTGTAGGGAAATGCCGTGGTTTATCAGATTCCACCGGAATCTATTGACCAGATTCCAGTAGAAGTTGGTCGTTTAGGCCCTTCTGACTACTTCGGTAACAAACAATGATCACTCAAAAGTACAGCTTGTATTAACACTTTCATTTTTAACAGGTGAAATTGCCCTAATTTTGGATAAACCACGCGCAGCAACGGTTAAAGCCCTTGGAACGCTCAAATGTGCTCGCTTAGATCGGCCACGCTTTGAACGACTGCTTGGTAAGGGATAGGACATAACACAGTGACAAACTGCAGCAAGATTTCACTCGTGATTTTTGCAGGTCCTTTGAAAGAAATCTTGACCCGCAACATTTCACAATACCATACCTTGGTTGAACTGGGCAAATAATCCATGGAGACTTTTTGGATGGCTTCTTCTTTTATTGTATACATTGTGCTGCAGCACGTAAATCTCAAAATATCTTTAAATATTTGACTAGGCAAGCAGTTTGATGCTGATTTATTGCACATAGCTTATTTATTTCGCATCATGATAGGGTGTATTTAGAATTCTGGGGGTTTTCTGCTGTCAAAGGGCGATAATATGAGGGTCTGTTCTCCGCTTTATGTGTTAGATGGTGTCATGTTAATCATTTAAAACAAGAATGAGCTGAAGGAAGAACAACAAAATCTGATATCTGTGGTCGGGTAAATGGAATTCATTCGCGAAGATCATTCACAAAATTCGGCGCAGATTTCTTGACAATCGCTCTGTGATGTGATAGTTACTAGTAAGTTTAACTGACTTCGTACTTCACCTAGAATTTGCATTCTAAAGACCTGCCGTTGCCTATTTTAAACCCTGTCACTTTTTCCTGTTCGATGACAAAACAGTACAGGATGGGGAAGGTCAGCAAATTGGCATTTAAAATCAGAATTAATATTCCACGTACAGGTACCGTTAAAAGCGACTCCGAGTTACTGATATCGTACACTCCCCGGAAACCAGAGTACATTCAGAATTTGCGATGCGGCAGAAAAACTCATTTTGTGGACCTTATTATATGAATACTAACTAAGTAACAAGGGTCCTCGACACTTTGCCGTTGTACTCAATGTTCTCCCGTTCTACACATCCAATCTGCACGCTCTAAAGTTCTACAGAATCTTCTCAGTGTCGAGAGTAATCCTGCATCATCAAATTTCTGAAAAGCCCAATTCCACAGTCCAGTGGTCACTCAAAAGCTTGTTACCATGGTGGCCATTAGCTTAACATGGGCTGTTTGTAAATCCCCAGATTGTTACTATGTGTTATTATATCGAATTGTCATTGAAATTAGCGAACTGCGAATTAGCAAAAATAACAGGTTCTGCTCACGCCTGTTTATTTTGTTCGTGCCTCCTTAATGTAATAAACATCGTGCCATTATTTAATACATATGCAGTTAACCTTTTTACATGCTCGAAATCCTAAGACATTATTCATCCGTGCTGGGCTTGTATATCATTACATGACAAGTGGCAACAGTTAAGGGAAGTGGGCCGGTACATGGTACCAAATTCGTGTACATGCACGAAAACGTTCACTTTCGCGCACTCCCAAACACATTTTTGTTTCGGTTTATGACTTTTTGTAGCCAGAAGATTTGTACACACGGGTGTGAAAACCGTTTGTGCGCGCAACATCCGGTTCGGGAGTTATGGCTGTTGCAAAATTCCAAAAAGTTTAAATGCGTTCAGGTGTACCAAAAGTCTCATTATGGACCGATCTCCCTCAAATTTTGCACGTAAATGCACATAACCACGAAGAACGTTTTTACACCGATCCACTGTTCTATCATGTTTTTCAAATTTTAAAATGAATTTCAAAAATTTTAAAATTCATTTTAAAATTTGAAAAAAATCATGGAAGTCTGGTTCGGTGTAAAAACGATCTTCATAGACATGCGCATTTACGTGAAAAATTTGAGAGAGATCGGTCTATAATGAGACTTTTGGTACACCTGAACGCCTTTAAACATTTTGGAATTTTGCAGCAGCCATAACTCCCGAACCGGATGTTGCGCGCACAAACGGTTTTCACGCCAATGTATACAATTCTTCTGGCTACAAAACGTCATAAACCGAAACAAAAAAGTGTTTGGGAGTGCGCGAAAGTGAACGTTTTCGTGCATGTACACGAATTTGGTACCATGTACCGGCCCACTTCCCTCAACTTACTGCACAACTTGCGCTCTAACAATAAGTGAATGGTCCAGTGGACCGTGGATCGGTCATTTGCGGCAAAGGCAACACCATTACTCGTTTTGCAAAATTTAACATATAATCGAAATGTATAGTCAACAAAATTATTGATTTCGGTAGTGGGATTATTTCGGTGCTTCCGGCTTTCTATACATGTATCAGGAAAAGTTTTATTTAGTGTACCAAGTACTTACTATAGTGTGAGAACAGTAAGTTCTAGATATAGTAAGTTCTTGAGTGTACTTGTACTTGAGAGGTAATGGTGTATGTATTTGAGGTGATGATGTTGAGAACAATGCTTCACACCGGCCACTTTGTAAATTCTATTATGAACTTAGTATACTGACAGATTTCTAAACTTCAAACAATTACAAACCATCATCTACGAGTAAAGCGGTTTCAGGTAAGCTCGCCCTGGCTGCATGTTTTTTACAGAGCCCAAACTTTACACAATGCCGTAGCTTCCTGCATAGAACAAGGCTACTTCTAACAGATAATTTGATGCAGATCAGTTTGACGCTCCTTCGATTGCTCATTAACGGTAGCTTTTCGAGATGCCGCACAATAAGCTATAATATTTCTGGCAGGCAAACACCAAAGGGACTGCACAATTACAGAATGAAGGGACTATCCAGAGGACACTGTCAAACACTACTGGTAGATCGAGAGTAACCTCTATGCAGCACAGTTACAGTAATCAAACACCGCAATCACAACTCGAAGTTGCACTGATCGTCAGACCGACAGAATAATGCGTACGATATATCACTGCAGAATAAAAGCACATTGAATTTGTATAAAATCTTCCGCCATTACGAACAGCAGCAGTACTAGTACTGCAAATTAGGGAAAAATCTACGCATAAAATCAACGATTAGTCTATTCAGTCAGAAACCAGCGAATGCAAAATTATGGACTCTTTCTTTCGTTTCGGCTCAATCAACCATCAAAGATCGTAATTTGTCTGCTGCCTATAGAACACGCAACACAAAATTTGAGTGACTAATGTTTTACAAAAACATTCGTGTATCTGTACTTCTCCTAAATGATTTGCTCCGAGCATGACACTTCTGTAATACTCCCTAGACTGCGCTCCGCCTACTGAAAACCACATCTGTTTCAGAAAGCACGTGCTCACCTGCTCGGGTGTAATGTCTCTCTGAGGACAGGCCAACATTTCAAATCCAACCATAAACTTCTGGACGGTGGCCGAACGCAGCAACGGTGGATAGAACACGGCATGGAGCTGCCAGTGATCCATGTCCGCTCCTAAATACTTTCCGGTGGGGGCGCCTAATATAAAACAGGCATCGTTACAAAATGCTACAAATGCTCTTCGTATACCTTCCTTCCATTAACACCTACAAAATGTTACTACTTCAAGTACTGCAGTAAAACGCAACTTCCAAAAAAACAAGATAATTAAATTTGTCCTTTTGAATACGATTTTTTGGTGAATCTTACAAGCTACTGCATTCAGTAATATAGTTAAATGATTATTAGTAAATGCGCACAAGTAACAAATTTTCTTTACGGTTCACTGATGGCTGTGATGCCAGAAGCCACATGCAGTTTCTCACCATGCCAACCCATGGAATAAGGAAACGATACATCAAATAGCCGATCGTATTTCTGCAGCAATATTTTCAAACACTCTGCCAAATCTAAACAACAGCAAAAGGTACCGATCTAAGCACGCACTTTCCTGAAAATGTAATGCGGTATGATCAGGCACTATCTAGCCGGTCGAGTAGCCACACCAGCATGTTAACGGTGGGTGACCATAACAAGTTAACGCCGGCATGTCAAACGCTTAAATACCTGTTCCTTCGTTTTCTGTAACATCCGACAATCGCAAAATGTGCCGTTTAGGAATAACCATGGTCTCGTACGGCCATTGAGCCCAAAATGGAACCACTACCACCCAGTAAGGGGTTTCCACAACAATTCGTTTCTGAAAATGAGTCTTGAATGTAAGATAAAAAGATACGTACCATATGTCACAGAACATGCAGTCAATCCAAGCCCGCAGTTATGTTTTACTGTAAGTATACATTCCAAATTCTAAAACGCAATTTTAACACAAGTGCATGCTGTACAAACTTTTATGGCACAAACGGCATTATGAAGAAACAACGTGCATTGTAGAAACTTCAACATCCAGATTGCATAATTGTTTAATACAGTAATTTAAATTGCTTCATATACGGAATGTCCGGAAGTGCGGCACTTTAGGAACTGATAATAATTCACACAGTTTTCGAACCTTTTTTTCCATTTCTTTCCGCAAGTAACTGCAAAGCAGTGGCGTGGAATGCAGCCTATAGTATTCTAGCTGGCGAGAGTCCTTCTTACTGGGTTCATTAGGAAGAAAATTGGTCGTCCAAATCTACTGAGACGGAAGAACAGATAGGGAAAGATTACGCTCGAATCAGCTCTTGAAATTAAATATTAAACAGCTAGTAAGCAGGTATTCATTTGCGACAAATGAAAACAAAGAAAAGTTACAGAACGCCGTAGCCAATTATTACCTGGCAGTGAGGATGCGGATTGGAGCAACCCATGATTTCCCCACGATTCTCAAATATCTGAAATACGCAACCTTCTTAAGCAATCAGTATAAGCCATATGGTACATATCAGAAAAAACACCATACGTCTATCCCATAAGCAACGCAAAAAAAAACACTTAAGAAGAGTTAATTCAAATGACACTCAGCCAAAGAGCGCGATCTTCAGTAATAAAGTCAATGTATTTCTTTAAATTCTCTAAACAAGTTGATAGACACTTACCTGGACCCAAACATATTGCGGTCCGAGTTCCCGCAGTTGTTCGATCCAGGCATCAATGACGGTTCCGATTTCTGCCACACTCATCTTGGCCAACGTCGTATCGGAGCGCGGATGGAAGCACATGACGCGGCAAGTTCCCTGTGCGGAAGCATACTGGAACAGCTCATCGGCATTGTCATCTGTAATTCTAGATATATTCCGCATACTTTGGCGTACGCCGCATCCCTTTAATAATTAAACTCGGGCAAGCAGTACTTGCGACAATACACAGTGGCACGGCTTCTATTCAGTCATTTCTGTTTAAATAAATATAAATAAAAAGAGGAAAAAACCCACGAACGATGCGATCAGAAAACCTCACATACCTGGAGAAGGCGTATCCGGCATCAGCGCTGGAAAGTCATTGGTAAAAACAAATGTTGACGTATAGTCCGGATTGGTCTGCAAAAGAGGCGAACAATTATGTGCCCTGCATTTACAAATAACTACGTAGCTACATACAGATACTGACATGATTACACCGAGATAACAGAATGCATTATCTAGCCATTATTATTTGGCTGTCATCGTTTTTCCAGCTCAGTTAAGCTGATTACGTAAATAAAAGTCATTCACCTTAAATCGAAGAAAATCGACATCTCCGGCAAGGGTAACAACTGACGAGAGTTAACGCTTGATAAACTAAATAAAATTAATGTAATTAGTCGCCCCGAAAAAATCTAGCCCCTCTGCCACTATTCACTAATAACCAGGCAAATTCAGAAACCCCTTTGATAAATTTAAAGGCGAAATCTAACGATTTCAGGGTTTCTAGCCATTTCGAATGCTTACAGTTATGGGTTCGTGAATATATGCGTGGACCAGAACAAAAACGATGGTTCACGAGAATGTGGCTACAAACTATGCGTTACCTGCCCGCTTGGTCGTGTTGTGCCCGGACACAGCGGATTAGACTTGTGGGAATTTTCAGCCACATTACTGGGAGAAGGATTGTCGACTTTGCCCTGCCACGGACGCTTCATGCGATGCGGAGATACCAGAATCCATTCGCCAGTCAACGGATTGTATCGTCGATGGGGGTGCTCTATTCAACGATTTGAATGCATAGTAAATCTTTTGGCACAAGTTATAAGCATTTCTGAAATCAGTCACCAGAAACATTACAAACTACTAAATAAGAAACTACAAATTATCAGCGCATATATTTGAGATTACAAAATTAATTAAAAGAGATCCACAACTTGTCTTCGATGCAACAAGTGGTGGTGACTGCTTTCATGACAATGTACAAAATTAATACAGTTCACTTTTTACCTGTAGGTTCAAAAGTGCTCGCGTCCATTTCCAACTTATTTAGGTTAATGTATACTAAAATATCCAAAAAACAGCCACGAGAGGTAAACAATAACAAAAATATTTCAAACTAAACCAAAGTAACTACAGACTAAAACACTAAAACAGTAAAAACACAAACTGAAATTTAAAAAAGCGTTACCGTGAAAATGTGCCTGTCTTACGACTCGTCTTACATTTTAAAAGGCGAGCGTAGATGCCTTTTGGTGGCGGCTACCAGAGCCGCCACAACTTTTGTGGCCAACGGTAGTAATTTACCAAATACACTGCAGATACTGAACAGTAAGCAGTAAACACAACAAATTTAAATAGCTTTAGCGAACGCCTTGTAGCTAGCGGGCTAGGTTAATCTTATAGAACTGTTTTGTTGCAAAATAAACTGCCGGTTTTTACTTTGCAAATCATATCTAAGAAAGAAAATAATCATAATATTATACAGGAAAGGGAAAAAATCAGTTGCTCAAGGTCATCCAAATGTTACTCATACGCATTGCTCATAGTCAACAATAATTATTATTCAAATAATGAAATTTACCTTTACCTGGTTTTCTAATATACCGCCGGCAAAAAATTGTGCCTAGGCTCGACCAACGTTTCTGGAACTTCGGCGTTATTTTGTCGTCGCACGATATAAATCCGTCGCTGCCGGCGAAGCACAACTGCTGCGTAAAGATTTCATTTTTTACAACGGTAGAGCACTAATATTGTAGTACTAGGTACGCACTTGTTGTTTTGTAGCTTGGAGGCGATGATTAATGAACCTTTTTTATGTCCGGAAGTGTGGTTGATATTGTCTTTTTAACGATTACGTCCGCATAGACCATAATCCTACGTAAATACTGCATTAACAGCGCTTGTTGCTCCTTACAGGGTGATAAATGAGCAATCAAAATTACGCCAGTGTGTTTCGCATTTCTAAAATATCCGAAATTCCATATAAATGGCTTTATTCCGAAGTAAACATGCCATTGTGGGTAGTAAATGATCGAAGTTAGCAATTCTGATTGCAAATAATCGGTTCACCTATTCACCGTAATCTGTGGCATTTTTAAAAAAATGTATATAGAAACCCGAATACTTTATTTCGTTGTAGCAGCTGTCATATGCGTGTTCACAGTAAGCGTAACAAGCAGTCACGGTGCAAATGCAAAGGGTTCACTGCCCGGTAATTACGCTTCCCTTTCCGCGTTGGATAAACAGTCCGTGATATGGGCCAGTATTCTCAGCAGCCGGTATCCCGCCAACGAATCTCTACCCACGAGTTCCCCCGAAGTCACCGGAATCAGTCCGAAATTCGCTCGCAAAGTATTCACCATTACTTCCGACGAATATCCTCCGCACCGGCATCGTATTCTGCACCGCTTCGGCACCGTGGGCCTGATTACTTGGCGCACTAGCCGCACTTCCCCGTACACCGGGATCTTTCAGCCCGGGGTCAGCGTGGCCGGGCTGGCGCGTCTGTCTCTGGCGTTCTACAACATGCAGAACATCATTCCCGCCGTGACGTTGAAGCTCTTCCTCGACGGCCAGCCCTCGCTTAATCTTTTTGCCGTGGACGACGAAGCCGGACTGGGCGGACAGGGAACGGATCGGAATTTCTTCGCCCGTAATCTCAGCAACTGGGTGCCGCTGCCGCGCTCATACAGCCAGTTGTTGGCGGGGCTGGGCCAGTCGTTTACCACGGCGATTCATAAGCTGTCCGGTGGAAAGTGCAACCGCCCGCTGGACGGAGTTAAATTGCCGGTGCTTTTGCACGCCATGACCGAGCCGGATGGAGAGGAAGTGGGCGTTCCCCGGGCACCGACGGTGCTGACTTTTGTCGCCAATCCGGCGATCGCCATGAGCTCGACGGACCCAACCGATTTTCGGGAATCACTGGCAAAGATTCCGGCGAATACGCTGCTGTATCAGGTGTACGCTAATGCGACACTTCCGGATGGATCGGATACAAGAGAATTAATAGCAGATGTGATTCTGACCGATCAGTTTGTGGCTTCTGATTATGGTGATAGCAAATTGTTCTTCCAACATCATGGAAAACGTTGCTGAGAATAATTTAATATGTGTCTGTGGACTGCACAGAAAGTATCGAGATTACCAAAAAGTTTTTATTTTTATTAAGTTTTGGCAATATTCTTAAGGAGAAAAAACCATGCATCATGCGCCACATATTGCACTCTGTATAACTGTACGAATGTTCCTCATTTTTGATTACGAGTTATAAAGTATTTAAAATGCCGGATCAGCTGACCATGCGTCTCGCCGCCTTGGCTGCGTCTCGCCGTCTTGGCGCGTGGCTAATCACAGTTACGTTTACATACGTATCAAAATGAATATTTCAAAGGTCGAATTTAAAATTTCAAAGACAAACTTAAGAAAATACTTAAACCCATAAAGTCTGGCTGATACAAATACAAATTTTGCACGGACTTCGTCATATTCAAAACATTCTCTTACTTGTTAGTTCAAAATTTCTAAAAACTTGAATCAACTCCATACCAAATTTACGCTAAATATTTTTATAAACAATTGATTTCTGCTCATACTGCAGCCATCAGGCCACTACGAATTCTTCAAGAAGCACCATGGCAGTCAGTCATATAAACTGTAGGAGAGAAAAACATGACCAATTTTTAATGACCGCCAATGCCATAAATTCGAATCTCGCATTTTCCATCAAACTGATTACCATCAAAAATGAATTTTGCCCCATCACTTCATTTTCACCAGATTATAACAAAAAACTGCGAAAATCTACATCCAAAATTCGTAGTTCCACCGCACAAAAACAAAACAACCACTTATCCAAGAACAAATTCTATAAAGTCACTAATAATTCCAAGCAAAACTGTAGTTGATCACATTCCCGCTTCAATTCCATAATTTGTTTGTTAAACACCAACAAAAAGTAGAATAATAATTCCGAAATATATTTCCCCACCGTTCCTCTTCCTTCACCGCCAAGAAATGCACCTTCACAAAATCTCCTCGGCCTCTCGGGCAGCCGCCCAATCACTGCGCACACGACGCAGCGTGCAGCAAGCTTAGTACGGTTTCCCTTCTCGATTTCCCGTTGGCCGGTACTGTCCATTGCCGCGCATCTCGTAGTTGATGTCCAGCGCGCTTAAGGATGCCGCAGCTAGTGCTGCCTGCTCATTCCCGTCACCGAAACCATTCATGTCTTGGTCCTCCGAAGGACCCAAAATATCCCGGAGGAGTTCATTGAACAAATCCTCATCGGTCATAGCCGCTCCGTTTTCCCCTATCATGCTAGGTGAGGCGTTCATTTGGTCGGTGTAGAAACTCTGCGGTGACTGAGCACAACCGGTGCTCAGCATGGGATCATTGTTGCCCGGCATCGGCAACTGACTGAGATCCACGGTGACAACGTTGCTGCCAGGATGAGCGTTTGCATGTGCGGAAGCCACCGATGTCGTACCTGTCCACAGCAAAAGCGTTCGTTCAAATCGAAGTTTCGCATCTACGCGGTCTCACGCTGCATAAATTAGGATTACCACTAACCTGCACGTCCAGCATGGACATTATGGTACGTATCGGTCGTGGACGTCTGCATGCCACTAGCTGTCTGCGGAATAGTGATATAGATGGGCTGGTTGGAGCCCGGTAACTGAATACAGTACTGGAAAGAGCTATTGGGATTGTTGGCCGGTGGCGTGGCCAGGGAAGCTGAGCTGGTCGGTGGGTGGACCGGCGGCGAGTGCATCAGGCCGTTGTGGTTATGATAGGATGTCGGTGTGGCATTGCCGGCTGATTCCTTCGACTCTAACGACGCCAGTGACGCGCTGCTTAACGAGGAAGACGCTGATAGGGTCAATGGCGGCGGGACTGGGCCCGGGACGGAGCGGGAACGGGAGAAATGCCGCATAATCGATTCATCTGTGAAAATAATTACATAAAGTCAAAACAACCCACAGGAAAAACTGATCGATTAATTTGGACCAACTCTATGTCTCTATAAAAAGATTTTCCGAGTTCCTGTTCAATCCGATTAGCAGACTGATCAGCTACGTAGCACATAGCACGCAATTCCAGAGTGCAAGTGCCCTAAATCAGCGAGATGTTTATTTCCCCATTGGCAACTGACTTTTGTGCACCTTTTTCCTTTTGAATGTCATAAATTTAGAATTAAAGTTTATCGACAATTTGCACCTAGAAGTGCAACTTTTTTAAATTCAATCCAAAAACCTGTGCTAACTCGTTAGATTTCATCGTGAACTGAGCCATTTTTGCGTTGTTTCTAAAAAAAGTATTCCTGCCACTTCAACTATTCTTTTCGCTTTATCGTCGACTTATTGGCTCCTACAACCCACTCAGTATTAGTATTCAGATGACCTCGACAAATTCCAGCCAAAACGTTACCATCCACTTAGCAAACCGCCTGCTGCTTTTAATGTCATTTCAAAGACTCACTGAGTAAAACAATTCATGACAACTCATGAATAAATTACGCATCCAGTAGCAGTAGTAGTATAAAAGGAATCCTTTTTAAAACATCGAAGTACTTCGCGCCTCGCGGTACATGGGCGCTGCGATCGACAGTCCCTACAAGACAACACGTGTGATCCCAGCACACGTGTTCGCAAGCCACTAATACAAGTACGGTAGAAGTCACAACAACATGTTTATTTTATGGACTTCCTTCTTACAGTGCGCTAATTTTCGCTGAACCCTTGTGCCGCTCACAAACATATTTATCACGCTTCTGGCAACGATGCCAAAAATCTGTTGTCATTCATGTCAGACATACAACCAAAAATATAACACCGGTTTCCCTCAAGTTTCGACTACGAAGTTGCAACGATCAGCAATGCTCATGCTGCTGAAGCTAAAATCGTGGAAAGATGACCGAATTGCGGAAACAGCGACGCAATTACTGGAAAAGTTCGAAATTTGACAAAATGCTTGAAAACTTATTCGAAAGCTGTCTCTCCAGAAACTGCTACCAATACATACAAAAAATCAGAAATCAGTACAACAGCACAGTAACATACCTGGAGTGTATTTAAAAGAGTGCGGCTCACTCTGCTTGCCGCCTTTATTGCGCACCACCAAGCTCAGGTTTTCTACTGGTTTGGTAATGGTGAGATCTTTGTATGGCGGGACCGAACCCACCAGATGGACCTGATTGAAATTCTCCATTAACAACGGCACTTCCCGTTCCCAAATTACTCCCTCATCTGAAAACACACGAAATTTAGTACACTACCTTCGCTTAAGCCCTGCTTATGATTTAATAAATAACTCCTTTATTTACAAGAAATTGTTAAACAAATTACCGTCGTTCTTCTCCAAAATCCAAATTTTACTATCATCCTTCACAAAATTTCGGCCAATAATAACAATGTCAACGCCACCCGATACAGGCGCGGAGGTGTGCGAGATGAAATGGATTTCCGGTACACCCGGCGACGGAGCTAAAGCATGATAATAATTCAAAACATAATCCCATTACAAGCAACAATTACTACGGTCTTACTGCAGCAGATGGGTGTGGACGCCACTTGGAGGGATTCGCTAGTCCCATCGGGCATTTTAACGACGCAGCGAAATATTAGACGCACTTTCGGGCTGCGTTTGCGCCTCTTCGCCAGCTCCTCGGCATCGGCAATCTGCTCGAAGTCCGCATTGCGCAGTTTCATGATGCCCAGACAATCCACACTGCGTAAAATAATGCCTAATTTTACTAATTACTTCTGAGGATTACACTCATCAATTTTCTCACTCTTCCATAATAAGAAAAGCTGCATATTCGAGAAAACAAAATTTTGAAGTGCAGCCGAAAGAGTCGTACACAGAACGCCTCATTACTGTCAAAATTTCCTAAAACTTCAAGCCAGAAACTGTCCTGTGATTTTAACAGTATTTCTATACATTCAATTTAATAACCCAAAGAAATGCAACATGACTATCGGGAAGTTTTACAGTCCAACATACCTTAACAAATAACCGTTTTCCCGTAAAAGATCCATTTCCAGCGCATAAATGCTTCCTTCTAGGTTGCGCTCACGGCAGGGCGTGCTGTGCTTCCCGCCGACTTTACACACACGGTACAAGGGATGTGGTCGTACGGGGCCACTTTCGGTACCGATAAACGCTTGAATGATCGCACCACTGCCTGTATATCCGGTCAGCTGCACCGCAGGGCATGAGTTCCCGGTGCGATCCTTTATGCAACCGCGGCTACCTTCTTTCTGGTACCTAAATAAAAAATAAATTCAATTCATGAAAAGCGCACAACTATTCACTAGGAGCACCATACCGCACGATAAAATAACCAGGTAAATTAAATTTCGGGCTTCATTACACTGGCGGCGTGGTTTCACCAAGGTATACCAAATATATCGATACATGTAAGAGACAACGATTCCCCCTTCCAAGACAATATTATAAACGTTAATAATCTTCAATTTTAATAAAGCAGGATCATTATCAATCACCGCAAAACCACCGAACGGTTTCTTGAGTTTTAAAGTCGATAACAATTTAAATCAGGGCACAGCATTACATTACCAACCCCACACCGAAAATGCTCCGTTAAATTATCCTAACTGCCCCTCAAGTATCAAATGTCAAAGCAATAAGCCCGGCTAAACTCCCTTTTTATCCCCTGCCTATTCTGTGTGAAAGCTATGATTTGGGCCCAGGCACGCAGGCTTACCTGGCGCGATGATGATTTTCCGGCTGGCGGACGATTTTCAGCTCGAGATGTCCCAGGCGAGTGGCTTTGGAGCAGACTGCCAAATCCTTGGCGGCGACACCGTTCACATCCGTCTCCATGGGTGTATCACGCGAGGGAAAAGATTCCGTCTCGTTGTCACTGATGTCCGACTCCACGTCGCTGATCTTCTGGCAGTGCCGCTTAAATGTGGAACTCGGGCAAGTATAGCGCCGTTTCGAGGCCGGGGCACTGGACACGGCGGCCGGTGAGCTGATAGTGCGGTCGACGGGTGTCTGCTAAAACAGAAGAATGATACAATAATTTTATGTAAAATGATAGTAAACACTAAACAGGTAAACATATTCCCACTGCGCCACAAACTTAGTGTGCCATGCACAAAATTTGAAAAAAATACCAAATCGACAAGAAAACTGCAAAACGTTCGGACTGACCCACACCAAGCTAGGAACCCGTGCCATTATGATGCAAAGTGTCTCGCCAGTGTTCATCATTTACCGTAAATGATAAACACTTAAAGTCTTAAACACGTAAATGATTTACGTGAACTGTTTCACTTTGTTACACAGCACACAAACATGAAACACGAAATGCATAGATTTACGGTCGCGCCGACGTAAAATTCGCTACAACTTCACAATGCGCATCGGCATAACGCAAACAAAAGCCACAAAATCACATTACATTCCTGGAAAGTCGACAACCCGGAAGGGTCCTTCGCGCTTTGGCTTCTCACCATCAATCTATAGCCAAAGTAGTAAAATGCGTACCTGCACAGCTTTCCCTCTTCGCCGCGATGGTCCCGCATGGAGATTGCTGGCAGAGGACACCGTGCTCATGCCGGAGCAGCTGGAATCGGAGATGGTCGATCCCCACGTGGACAAACGCGGTCGGATGAAGGGCGCCAGGGTGTCGTCGGGGAGATCATCTGTGTCCTTGCTAGTTCCTTGGGAACTATTTAGTGTGCTGCTACCGTTCAAGGCGCTGATCTGGTAACGGGCAAATGCCGCGGGAATGGGAATGTTGACGAAGGTGGGAGCGGAGGATGGCGACGGCACAACGCCGTTCGTCATGCTCGTAGGCACGGTGGGTTTCGGGGCGATGGTGGCGGAAGAGGACTGGAGAGTCTGGAACAGTTCATCCCAGGTACTCATCTGCAAATCCGATAAAAGTGAAAAAGTGCCAGGAGATGGGACACCAACACTGACGTCCAACATCCAGCTTTAAAACTGATGATGAACGGTTTGACTGCTTACAAAATACGTAAAATTAGAAACAAAGCAGTTCTTTGAGTGAAACAAAATTTAAAGCCTTAAGGCTTAAAATCAAAACATTGATTGCAACGTATTGTAGCAAGTGCGGACCATCGCTCTGATAGAGTTTAAAATATGGCACTGGTGTGTAATTCCTTGTAACTGTCGCAATAAAACAATTGATCCCAACTGGGTCAACTGCAGCTCGGATGCTCACATATCGTACTTTTGAAGCTGGTTTCATAATTCTTGAGCGAGGCACGGTAATAACGACACTGTAGCGATGTAACCCTGCTGGCTGCTTCCTTCCCAGTTGTGTTCGGAAATCGGAAGTACAACTTTCCAGTTCGGATAGTACACCGAATTGACCGAAATTACCAACAACAATAGCTACAAGTACAGAATTAATAAAAAGGCTTCAGGAATCTACTAACAATAATAAGCCGCAACCTGCTATATCCACCTATTGTACATGTCACTGCTGCGTTAAACTTCTATATTCGTCCGATACTGAAGTGCGTAGCAGGGCAGGTCTCAGTACTTATTATTGAGATCTGCCTTGTGCGTAGTCAAAATCAAACTTTAAACGCAAGTTTGAACATGCTGTTTTTCTGATGAACCGAATGCACCACATTGCGCCGCTCTCTGTTAACTAATCAGCAGTTCCTGGTGTGGGCACGTCTTCTCCTCTCAATAAGCAAGACGTGAAAAGGAACAGATGCCTTTGATGTTAAAAATTAATTTCCGGTAACTGCGTATCTAGGCCTAGGGTAGCTGTAGTAGCCGGTAACACCATAGGTTAATGCGAAACTGACCAGGAGGACCACTGGTCACTCACACTGTTACAGTAGTGTGCTTCCTCCCATCTGGCCCAGATATTATGCTGTGCAAGGGTTCGACTTGGAATTTTTTTTGGTTTCTGCTCTGTAGGTGGTTTTTTAGTCTCTTGTATTAGGTTCAGTTCTTAGATTTCTTAATTTTCTTAGTTTCGTTTTATATTTTTGGGAGGAAAATGTTGGCAACTGTTGTAAAATTGTGCGGTGGCCACGAAATGTCCCGTGGACGGCACTGGTTGAAGTTCCATTCTGTTTGAAAACAATCTGGTCCAAGCTTGAACGTAAGTGTAACTTCGCGATCGCTACCTTCGAAGTTCAACTTTATACGCTATTCACCTACAGAGTAGTTACTATAGTACTGACCAATGTTATTGAAATTATTAATGTTTAGCTAAATTTTTAGGTCTACCCATTCTGACCGCCGGAAATGGAACGAACATATTAAATTTATGTAACCGGCAAAATTGATATCGTGATCCGTCAAGGCGTCAACGGGGAAAAACATGGGACGTACAAAACGGGTCTCCGGAGCGCAAACTGATATTGATATTGCGGCTTGCTGCATCCATAATAAGACTCACATGATCCAGCATTAAGCAATCCGATCGATAATTGTCTAATGGTAAGACCGTATGATAGAGCAGACAGAAAGAAGACTTTTAATTTTATTAAAGCAGCATCTGTACGCGACATGCCCGTTAATATTCGCACCTATTGTATATATGCACGAGCACGTAATTACGTGTTCAAAATTTTAGAGCAGTCGTAATATTGTAATTTATGACATACTGTACTTACAAAGCCACAACGAGAAATTATTAAAGGTACGAAGTGGTAATAATTAATACCAACATAATATTATATGCGTCGTACGCCGCATAGCACGAAAAGAACGATCCAATTCCATACTCACGCCTTCATCAATTTTTATAAATCAACTTGCTCTGTAGGTCCACTTTGTTAGGACGTTAAGAATAACAAGAAACGTATACTAGCACGAATACCCATTTAGAGTTAAGGTAAAAATTATTTGAAATCGACGATCAGAAATTGCTTTAGAAATTTAAATTAAACACGTCCGACGTTGTACCGGTCAGTAATAAGCTACGTATGTGAATGTACGCACAGTAGCACTAGCCGATACCTCGCGAAGTCAACAACATAATCCGTAGCGGAAAAAATACTTACATTCGCAAAAAAATGCTGAGTGATAACTACCGCATAGACAGGAGCCACTTTGCTTTAGCTACGAGCATCAGCCGATTGCCAAATTGCCTACGTGTGACATTTTGGGTATTTTCGGTGCAACACACCGAAGTTGTGTGTTGGCGCTATCGCCACAGTACTAACCGAGCGGAAATTTCTGAAGACACACAAGGTGACCTAATTTATCCGGGGTGGTAAAGCAACTCTACAGCTCTTCATATTTCCCACTAAGGCACTTAAAATAGCTCAGATAACCGCAATCAAATATACAGCTAAATGGCAGATGCGCAGTTCAAATATATGTTTTACCCGAAAATTAAAAAATTTCGGATAGCCGAGGAAAAGTTTGCACTTCAGCACGTTAGCTCATGTTTTTCAAGAACAAATGCTGGTCAAATACACTGAACCTTGTTGTCATATATTTTGTTTAAAATGCGTTTTCGAAAACCTGTGAGCCCTAGTTTTATTGATTTTAGGCGGGATAAATCATCACGATATGTGCCTATTTTCGTTTTTGTTGCGTAACAATTTCCAAGAAAATAAAAGCGAAGCAGAAAGATTTTTACAATCTAGCAGGGTGCGTTCAGTGCAACAGGAAGAACGGCTGCTTTTTACGGCAGTTTTTACCTTGGCAGTGTGATTGTGCGCGTTATATCCAGAAATAATAAAGGTCAGCGGGACGGTGCTAGTCACATCCGCTGCGGTAGGCGGTTTCCATGATGGCATTCCACTCAATCATCCGCGTATCCGCAATTACAAATCCAGCAAGAAAATTCACAACGACTGTCTCTGCAGCAAGCGCAATTACGGTGCAGAAACAAAGGCCAAATATTTCCACAATAGTATCACTTGACGTTTGACTATTGCAAACGATACCGAAACCAACAACCAAGGTTGCGGATACCAGTTGAAAACACGCCAGGTGAGCTTCTCGAACTCCAGCGAATGAGTAAGTTGTTTTTGTGCTTGTGCGCGCTTGTTTGACTGTGAGGAGTACTTGCTAGTTGCTATAGCATACACGATTGGTTCGCTGATGAAACACGAGCTATGAAGGGTGAAACTACCAGCTGAAACCTTGCAGACTGGTCCTACCAGTGCTATCGTGAAACTGCTCGAAGTGGGCCAGCTGAGCGTGCCACACAGCACAACGTTCAACCACGATCGATCGCAGCATGCCGGGTGTACCGCGTTGGTGGTGCTTAACAGCTGGCGTACGACATGCTTCCTGACGTACCGTTGGTGAGACTCACGTTTCTTCAGTCAGAGGACACTGCGAGAAAGAGTGATATACCTAGAAAAAATGTTTGTCTGTGCATGATGCGATAAGAAAGCACAAATAAAAATGATAATTATATTTGCTCAATTTCAGTGGTCTTTGTTCGAAATCATCATCATTCAATAACCCTCTTGATCGTCTTGAACTATAGTACCGGTTTAGGATGACAGAACTGGTTTCCGCGTATTTTACCACAGTAATTAATCAATGAGTTAATTTACAAAGTAGTATCTGGTTTTGCATATCATTTAATATTTGAGGTCATTTTTAAGGATCTGGTGACAAAACTGGGGTGACACTTGTGTTTTCGTGAGTAACATTTTAAAAATGGAGGTGCGGTATTGTATATAGAGGATTTGGAATGAATGTCACAGCGTTTGTAGAATGTCGATTACTTTTAATTTCTCAGAACATATCACTGAGTACCGTATGAACTACGATAAGTGCAGCTTATGATTGCATAATCCGGTGTCGTCATTAGACCTCCCAGTCACATTTCTCAGTTCTTGCACAGTTCGTCGAAAACAAACAAGTATGTGCAATGTACCTCAGCTAAAAAACGTTTCCACAACGTAGGCTGGCGTCGGGTGAAAAGTTTCCAGTCTCCATGTTAAACTTCCGCTGAACTTTAAACGGGGCATGTGCTATTACAGACTGTAGGAGCAGAGAATTACTGTACCATACTGTACGTATATACGCACCGCAGTTTCTCATTGGAAGACATGACACGCTGCAATCAGCCGGCCGTGTGAATTAAAACATAGGCGGCAGTAGTATTTATCGATCGGACGAAAGTACGGTACTGAAACCTCGTGCACTTGGGCGGAAGTTCCGACCGGGGGTGGAGCATACTTCATAAGCGCACGGAAAAGCCGTTGTTTAGACTTGTTGTTGCGGACCAAACGTTGGCGTCTTGCATAACATTTCTCGGTAGTCGACTTTCAAATACAGCACAAACAGACACACAACTCCGACATGGGTACTAGGTACATACGAGGTACCTGCCGCATTAGCTGCTGCAGTTTCACCTTTGCACTTTGCTTGCGTATTCGATTTATCGAACGTTTAATACCTTTAACCAAAACAAAGTACAAATTGCAAACTTTAATTTGAAAGCTAAACAGTAGCTAGTTGATGTAAACAAGCTGACTGGTGAGTAGCAATCTTTTTTCGGGCATTCACATTCTGAAATCTCGCTTGACTACTGTTCCGTTCGTAACCGAAAAACATGGAGTGATCGTGACTAGTTACGTGTATACGTATACTTTAACAGAGCGATTATTCCAAACCTGAAACATGCACGGGCAGGTAAAACAATTTTGCGAGAAACGTTGGCCGGCCGTGCAAAAACGAGCATCTTTTTAACAAAATCTGGTAACTGTATTTTGAGCTGTTTGTAGTTTATACTCATGTAATCGTATTTATTTTTTGTGGGTGTGCCGGTGTCCTGGGATAACTTTTATAAATGCAAAAAGGTCTTTGCCGCGTTATTTCGGCATGCCCCATGTGTGCCATGTTTTTCGTTCCTTGCAAGCAAATGTCTCTCACCTTCCACGGTATACTTCTTGTATCTTCTTTCACCTTTGACTCAATAAAGATAGTAAATTTTGAGAAATAAATAATAATTTCTGGAGCTGTCCAGCAGATTGAGCCATGCACGTCGGTCAAAGTGCGTAGTGCAAGCACAAAGGTCATTGTTTATTACGCTTAAACATGACGTTTTGTTCATGCACCAGTATAAAGTATACAGTAGTTTATAGCTTTATTACATTGCCGATCTGTAATAGTGCAAAGTTGCAAACTGAATTGTTTATTGTACAATTCATTCAGTCTGTACTATTGTAAAACGGCAATGCTCTATAATATTATACACAAGTGCACATATCTATATTTTAAGTATATCATGCACAGTTTACGTGAGCACAACAGTAGACGGACGGAGATAACGAGTGCACCCATCCAGCTTTTTTTATAAAGTCGCGTTACCCCAATAAATAAATCTATGATAGTTTACCACAAATTTGTTAAAAGGATAAAACGAAAACATAACCGATAAGATACAGGGCGCTGCAGCTAATAATTTTTGCAATCAAATACTTCAGCAATTTCACCGTATGTTATGATACTAACGCGCTATGCGTAGATTGTTTTAAAGGTTTTAAAAGTTTTAAGACTTGGCCCACTTTGTACCTACAGTGGTAGATTGCGCGTATGCGTTATGATGTACGTGTTGTCTGTTGTGTTACGTATGATCTGCTGTTCTTATGACTTATCTAACGCATTTGATCGCTAATTCCATCCACGATTCTGGTTTAACTAATCAGTCTGAAGTTTCTAACTTCAACAAATCTGTGAGCTTGTCTCTAGCTGAAAGGTCGGAGGGACTCTAGGTTAGAAGGGAGTTCATATCACATTCTGTTAATTCTGTTCTGTTCTGTTTGTTAGTTCGTTCGGTTTGGTGATTAAACATTTGGGAAGTTCCTGAGTGTTTCGGTTTCGGTAACTTTTGTTAGGCACAGCCATCCGCTCGTACCTAGCGGAAGGAAGTAGTTCGTATACCACTTACGGAGTCCAGAGCATATTCCTACGTACTCTACCGATTGAGTAGATTTGGTCATCTAGTGCGGTTGACGCGGTGCGACTTCCGCATAGCATGTCAATACTGTTAAATCCAAAGGATAGCTCGTCGTATTTATTTAAATTAGAGTGGGTGCACTCGTTATCCCCGACCTTGTACTAATGTTATAGGAGACTGCTGGCTTGTGAACCGTCCGCGACCAAACCCCTTTTATTGATAAACGCGATACATGATAAATGATAAACAGAATGATAAACACAGATGGGAGTGGAGGGCGGGTTTCGCTTTTGACGGCAAACTTCATAAATATTCTCAAAACATGACATGCAAATACAGTAATTGTGCCACGTCCACCGAAGTTTATGCATAGCAACGCGATAAACCTCTGATCGCACGTTAACGACAGTTATTGCTGTACAATAACTGCCATTAACGTTCAGCGATCTCTGGACCATTAGTTTGCCGTAATTGAGGTTGGTCCAGCGGAGGTGGTAAGTGTAGCCCAATGTCCAACTTGGCACCGGAAACCAAGCTGGCCGGACTACCACTTGTGAACCGTCCGCGACCAAACCCCCCAAAGCGAAGCCGCGGCACCAAGCAGGAGAAAACACCAACAAACGGCCAGCTGTGATAGAAGATACAATCAACCCATAAACTGTCTAGTCAAAGAAATTAAGTGATCAGTGCTAGTGCGACAATATAAAGTGTAAGCAGAACTGCACCATCTACCAAGAAGACGCACTTGTTCAGTGCTTAATCCGGCTTCGATAGCAGCAGAAGCAGCACCAATGCGAATAGAATGAGCAGAAAAAACATGATGCGTGAGTTTTTTAAGAAAAAAGGTGAGCCGCTGTTTCGTCAGACAGGTACCATTCATAAAATAAAAAAGAGGTGCGTCTTGAGAGAATTGTTTTCGTCTTAGGGAGTCATAAGCCAGAAAAGCATGGACACGACAGTAGGTGCTGCCGGATTGTCCAATGACGACAGTCGCTGGACTAAACTGCTTGGTCTTCGTACAACGTAAACGAAGCGCCAGGAAATTCGATGAACATGTCACATCCGACCGGCGCAATGTATGCTGGGATGGCTTCACGCAACTTGGAGAGCAGAATTCAGCAGATCGGAGCAACCCAGCAAAGGCCAGTGTAATGGCGCATCGCAACATGCTGACATCAAACTTGTTGAAAACAAAAAACGGGAGGTTAGAGATGAATTGTTTGAGATGACGCTTTGTGAATGCGCCTGCGGCACGGGGTGTTCTTGATTTTCGATGCAGACGTTTAAAACCAGCCCGTATAAACATAACACTGAACACTGCACTGTCTAGAAGAGAAAAAAAACTTTTCTGTACCCATTTTTTCCGGTATGATCTCGAATGCAATTATACAACGTTCCCACATAAACGTTCGTAGATAAACGTTCGTACAATTTCCCATACTTCGTACTTGATTATACTTGAACAGTTGAACTGTAGTTTATTGTACTGTTTCGGAGCCACAGGCTGGAGTATTCAACGCCATCCCGCATCCAATGTACCGCATCCACGGTCTACCACACCGGCGGTATCGTAGACCGTGGATGCGGTACCTCACAAGTCAGGATGATAGCAGATGTGCGTACTTGTCCAGCCGCTACTACCGTACAGCGTACTGACTACTGATGTTTAAAACAAATCCATTTCTAAGTAATAGTGTAACACTTAAAGATGCGGTTGGTTGATTCAAAACGGTTGGCTGTTTAAGTTTTTCAGTTTTCTACCAGATTCATAATTTTGATGTATGTACAGCTGGTACCATATTTTACGAACGGTTCACAGTGCACAACCTTTATAACTACGCTCGCAGGAACATGTTAACGAAGGAATTGGAATGGCCATACTCTAACAACATTGTCGTCGCATCGCAGTCGAATCTACTTCACGGTAGAACCCGACCTCTGTAACTCCGTCGCTCTTGTTCACGTTGAACTCTTTTCTGCTTTGCAAAGCTCTGTTAAAAGGTTAAGTTTAAGTTAAAAGCTTAAGCTTTTAAAAGTTTCATGATTAACAGTTAACAGCCTGTGATCCATAAAAAGCGGTATGTTCCATTGTTCAGGGGAGGGGGTTCTCGTGCGTTTGACCAAACATCAGTCGGATGATGCTTATTATCACTGACTCTTGACATCTTTGGACATGTGGCAGCGCGCTTGGAGGGCAACGAAAATGGCCGAAAAGGTGACGGAGCCCAGTAAATGATAGCGACCTTGAAAGACTGCAGAACCAAAGTGTTCTACACACTGATAATACTGTAATAAAAAACCAATTTCCTTTGTAGCAGTTGGACACCTGGACAGAGACCCATCGGAGCGGGACATTGAGAGCCAAACCACTTTGTTCTATTATAATACGTGTGAATACAATTCTGCATGTTTTGTAAACCAATTTGGGGTTCTGATAACTGTTTCATCTAATGAAAGGGCGTGGTGTTTCGTGTGTTTTGAATTTGTGGTTGCGGCAACCAACTTTTTGAAAAATGTAGTTGTGACGACTAATCTGATTGTCGCAATCGGATTTTTGTTGATTAAAATGTTGTTTATACACTGAACGGTTTTTTGATATTCCACTCGATTTGTGGTTGCGGCAACCATAAATTTTTGATTATCAACAGATCACTTTACCTCTATTTATGGGAACATGTGCTTCCGTTTTTTGATTCAATAATTTGTGGTAGCGGCAACTGCTTTTCTTAACATGTACTGAACCGTCATTTTCATAACTGTGTTTTGACTAATCTGGTTGCGGCAACTGATTTTGCTGATGAAAATGTTTATTAGTGGCTAAATGCCATGTTTCTTATGCACTTGATTTGTGGTTGCGGCAACCGATTACTTATAGTTATGGCCGTCGCTGATTTTTTAATTGGTTGCGACAACCAGTTTTCTTGATTCATGAATGCATAGATCTCAACAAAATATGAAATTATTGTATTGCCAACTATTATTAAACGCTACATAATACGATCGTTATCAGTTTCGTATCGATTTAACAATGCTGTAAACTGTTAAACTGGTACTTTCGTTAAATTTTAGTAATGAATAAGGACTGGCCAACAGTGCCGTTCTTACGAGCAATAATAAACTCTTCGTTTCCCCAGTGTTCCGAAGACAGTTTCGTGCTATCAAAATGCCCTATAATAGATGAAAAGCTTCATAAGATATTATAATAGTCTTTAGTTTCTTCTTGTTCACACGCATACATCACTTATAAAATTCGTACATACCAGTGATTTTCCATTTCTGTACATTGAACTGACCAAACACTTCTTCATACTCGGGATCCTGGAGCATGGAGAATATGATGCGCAATGGATGGTGCCTACAATTATAAAAATTTAATCCGAATGTGAGACCCGATAAAACCCTGATACGGTAATTTTATTTCAGGTAAACCCTTTGCGATGGGCATCAGAGTTTCCATATGCGCACAAGTACAACGAATGATTAAATGTATTTAATCACAGTTAATTGTGGGTGCACATCCCTCCCATTTTGGTTTATGGCCGTTTGTCGGCTTTCATTGGTTTGTTGGGTGGCCTTGTTTCCTCAGAGTCGGAGATTCTGAGATGTTTGCTCTTTGCTAGAGAGTTGTGTGCTTTGTTGAAATCATTTTCTGCAGTTTTGGCAAGGGAAATTTTTCTAGATTTCTGATTTACAATGCAAACTGAATGGTATAACTACTCTTCACAGCAAAAACGCTGTTTCAGCCGTTTGCGCGGCCGGTATCTGAATGACCTTTTCCTGACTGCTTGTTTAGGTTATGATAAGGCTTTTGATCATCCTGTTTTCGTTTTGGTTGTCGATGACAATTAATTTCCATGTCCAATAGCTTTACAATTCATCGTGGTGTACCATGCGATTGCTCTTTGTGCAGTGAAGTAGTTACTATTTCTCAAGTTTTTTTTTTATCTTCGTGTTCTTTATTCGTCATCGCTATACGATTCAGTTGGGAGGCGTAATACGGCATTTTATATCGTACATCGTTTGTTGCGTCTGGAATTTGCATCTACTGACTTATCTGTGACTTATCTTATCTTATCTAATATTTGTTAACATCATTGATTCTGTTAACAAATATTTGTTGAAATGTTGAATTCTTGAAGCAAATATTTGTTGAAATATATGTTGAATTCTTCGGAAGCCGATGAATTTCCAAGTGAATCTGATGGTCTTGAGTCTGTGTCCTCTGAGTCGTCCCGTTCGTCTTCACCGTCAGTTCCACCGGTACCACCATCAGTAATTGAATCTCGTCGAGATTCTTCCAACGCGTCAGTTGCAAAGTCTACTCGTCGCCGGCGTCCTCGTAAGAAAAACGCACATAAGCGTCCAGATCCTGCCATCGTTGCTTTGCAACGGCAACAAAAATTGCTCAGTGATAAGCTCTCATTGGTTCTATCAGGAGCAGGAAGTCAGCACAGTCGTCAGTCACCATCTGTGGTTTTCATGCCACATCCGCCTGCTGATCGGCAGCCGACTACTCACAGAAATGTTATCGTTGATGAAGTTCCCTCTACTGCAACCGTTCCAGAGTTTCTCCGTCCAGTTTCCGATAAGTTGGTACCGAAACTGCAGGACTTACATGAGTTTATTGATCTCAGTGAGTTGTTACCTGAAAAATGCACGTCAAATTCGAAGCCTATTAGACATCATGTCGACAATCGGACAGGGCAGTTGTTGCAGTTGTATACAGCTCGGAAAGCGTTCATTTTCGATCTAGATTCCTGGATGTCTGCTTTCACCACGTTTGCCGCTTACCGCTCACATTACTTTCCCTACTTGGCACCTCACCTGTTTCGATATATGGATGTAATTAGAAATTTGTCAAAAAATTTTGATTTTACTCTGTGGCTTGAGTATGACTCGCAGTTTCGGCTGCTGATGTCTACTCGCCCGGACAGTTTTTTTGATGTGGGGTGAACTGCATAATCCGTTGTTCCACGAGTTTGTGCTTATTAAGAGTCGCTCTATCCCGCAGTCTCGTCTTGGCCGTGTGGATAACCGTTATGGTTGTCCTTTCACATCCCGCCAGGATACTGCTCGTAATGACGGGCCTTTTCGTGGTGGCCCCGCTGCGGGTGGGGCTGAGCAAGTCTGTTTTGCCTTCAATAACGGAAACTGCAGATATGCCATCTGTCCAGCCGGAAGAAGACACATCTGTCTCATTTGGGATGAGCAACGCCATGGGAAATTTAATTGCCCAAGGCGCCGTGCCCCTAAACCCACCAATCCCATTGGTGCCTCAGACGCCGTTGCGCCGTGAGATCTTCTGTAAGTACCTTGCCAGTTGTCCAGATAAGAAGTTTGTACACGATTTATTAGCCATTCTCTCTAATGGTGCTGATATTGGGTTTCGCTCTTCGCATCACTCTCGTATAACGCCAAACGCTCAGTCTGCCCGCGCCCATGCGGCTGTGCTCTCAGCTGCTATTCATAAAGAAGTTATGCTCGGCCACACCGTGGGCCTTTTCTCTAACCCTCCTTTTGCTGATTTTGTATGCAGTTCTCTGGGAGTGCGTGAAAAACGCACTGGTGGTCACCGAATTATCCTTGATCTCAGCCGCCCGTCTGGCGACAGCGTTAATGATGGCATAAGTAAAGATGATTACTCCTTATCTTACTGTTCAATTGGCGATGCCATTCGTATCATAATTCAAAGTGGTCCTGCATGCTTTTTGTGTAAACAAGATATTAAGCACGCCTTTCGACTTATCCCTGTACGTATAGCTGATTACCATCTTTTGGGATTTAAAGTTGGGAAGTATTATTATTTCGATTGTGTATTGCCTTTTGGTGCACGTTCTTCACCATACTTGTTTTGCATGTTCTCTTATGCCTTACATTGGATATTTAGTAATGTCCACAACTTTCACGATTTCGTTCATTATTGTGATGATTTTTTGTTTGTTTTTAAATCTAAGTTGGTAGCAAATCAGTATATTGATTTGTTTACTGCATTAGCTGCCGAGTTGGGTTTTCCTTTAGCACTTGATAAAGCAGAAGGGCCGTCCACTATTTTACCGTTTTTAGGTATTTTAATTAATACTGTTGATCAAACTGTTTCTTTGCCACCTGGAAAGTTGTCAGAAATTATTCAGTTGTTAGATTCTTGGTCAAATCGTACAGCATGTACTCGTAAGGAGTTGCAAAGTTTAATTGGGAGTTTGCAGTTTGCATCTCGCTGCGTCCCGGCTGGTAGATTATTCACTCGTCGAATTATTAATCTCCTCCCACTTTGTTCGCCTACTGGTAACATTCAACTAAACGCCGATTTCACGGGTGATCTTGATTGGTGGCGCATGTATTTGCCAAAATGGAATGGCACGACATCGTTTCTCTGTACTGACTGGATATCGGCGGATGTTATAAATTTATACACTGATGCATCAGCGTCTATTGGTTTTGGGGCATTCTTTAATGGTCGATGGTTCTGTGCACGTTGGCCTCAACGTATTCTCACTAATACACTTTGTATTCAAGTTTTGGAATTGTTTCCTATTTTACTCGCTTGTGTTATATGGGGATCGTGTTTTCATTGCCGTAAGTTCATCTTCCATTGTGATAACCATTCTATCGTTGATGCCTGGAAGTCTCTTGGTTCTGAAAATTGTATTGTGTTACATCTGATGCGAAAGTTGTTAATGACTGCTGCGCTTGGAAATTTTTGCGTGAAAATTGATCATATCGATGGTGTTGATAACAGTATTGCGGATTCTCTTTCACGTTTCCAGTTTGATCGTTTTAGGCTTTTGGCACCATGCGCCGCCGTAGAACCCGATCCCATTCCCAACATGTACGACGAAACTGAATTGATTCTCCATACAAAAAGAATACGGTCATACCCGTTACGGGAGGCAGACTGCACCGCATCATTAAGGGGATCCCTATGAGATGAAAGTGGGTCTGGCAAAACATGAATAGGTTAAAAACAACTGGAAGATCATTGTTTCCATTGTTCTGACTGCATGCGCAAAGGGTTTGGCTACACAATGGTGTATTGCGATCTTGTCTACGCTCTCTCTGGACAGAGCTATTCAAGAAACAAAGGAAAAACTTTGAATTCAAAAGTCGAATGAGAAAGTTTTTTCAAATTAGATGTGATACACATCATTGGATGTGTTTTAGCCTAGAAAGCTTATATTCTCCAACATGCTAATAAAAAATGTTGTTAGTTTACAAAAAAATCGAGAAAAACACTTTTTGAAAAGTGTTGTTTTGAGTTTATTCAAACATGCCTTATTGGACTATGGCAGTGTCTCGGTATATAAGCTTTCTAGAAATAACACATTATCTGATGCCCATTTGGAAAGTGTAGCAAGTTTTACAATGGAGTTATCGATTTTTAAAGCCATTTCACAAGTTTTTGGAAAACGGCAGCTGAATGAAAGGCTTGCTGAGTGACCGGCAGCAATGTGTGGCAGAGCCGGCTACCCAAGCCCGCGTTTTGCAGGATAGAGATCAGACAGAGCATAGCTAGAGAGCGAAGAATCAGCTTGGCTCCGGCCACAGGACAGCATGAGGCGTTCTGTTCTGCTGTCCAGGTCTATCTGCCATGCGGCTGGCCATGGCTAGCCGATAACATCATTGCACTTACTTCGCCTATGCTGACCCGGTCTTGTTTTTTTACTAATAACTTATGATCGCAATACAATATATCCCATCGAGACATACTATTTGAAAGCCCGAAAAATTTCCTATAAGCTGATGTTAATATCGATAACCCATTTATATGAAAGTCATCTCATAGTGATCCCCTTAAGATGACCGAGGATCAGCGACATTGATGTTTTTTTTTAATAGGGCTGTCGGCAGGAGAAAAATGGAAAACATTGATTCTGCATAATTTGTTTAGTCTGTATGACACACGTAGCATTTATAACGTCTACGTCGGTGATAACTGCTTACGGAATGCGCATCCAGACAGTAAACCGGTAGATTCCCGATGAACAGAACAGTCGGTGTTGGTTTGTCGTTGGGGCTGGATTCATAGGCGATGATTTTTAGCAAGTCTTCTGAAGATTTTCCCCATAAAAATGTGATTCTCCGCAGAGCAGCAACGCTCTCTGGTGGAATATTGTCAAATCCCAACGGGAAAATACGAGGAACGGATTGAATCTATTTAATCAATAATAACTCACTGATCACTGCACCAATACCATTTTATACGCAAGTGTAAAACTCAAGATAAAGCATATTGTTCCAGCTGGAATTAGTGTCGTATTTTTCGGTCATTATAAATAACATTAGTATTTATACAATCGGAAATGTAAATATAGATATATATATATATATACGAGTATTAATATTGTTTAAGAACAGCTGTCACGGTTATCAGATGTACACAGAGAATCAACGAGAGCCTACGGTCTACGCGTAGTTGCGTAAATTACCATTACCCCGCGGCCCGCCCATTCCCCAGAGCTAGTGCAACCGTGAAATCCAATCGCGGTACAAATATCCATATAAGACCCGTCGGCACTGCACAGTCCAATTAGCGAATGATGCCCATCAGCTAGGGTTGTTAACGGTGCGATTTTGCACCGGTGCACCGGTCAAATTTTGGCGAAAAGTTCAAGCAGTCGGTGCAATTTTTTGGAAAAATTGCACCGACCTCCACCGGTGCGAGGAAAAAAACACACCGTTCGAAACCGCTGAAATCGACGGTGCACCGGTGTCAAAAGTACTAGAAAAAATGAGAAAAATGTAAAGGTAAAATAATTTTTTGGTTTAACTTCTAGGATTTTAGAGATGTTTTCCACTAATTTTCGCTTGGACGCATATGATGAGTGAAGAAATCATTGTTTTAGGTGTAGTTTTTCGTTAGTTTTGGCAAAAATAGCTTGTTTTACTTAAACTTATTAGCCAGTTCACCATATTTTCACGTAATCAGTGGACACCGGGGTGCATCGGTGCGGTGCGGTGAAAAACACCGCGGTGCGATTTTATAAACCGCACTGCACCGACGGTGAAAATTTTAAGAAATCACCACTAAAATCGTTGCGATTTTAGTAAAAAATCGCACCGCGGCTGCACCGCACCGCACCAAATTGAACCGTTAACAACCCTACCATCAGCGTAAATTCCGGATATAAAAAATTCATCTGGCACTGCCGGCTGGATGAGACCACGAAACATACTTGTATACAACCAATCTGCAAAGAAGCGGCACGATATATGCAAAATGGCAATTAAGGTTACCCCTATTTTGGCTTTTTTCAAAAAGGCCAGTTTCTCAAAACTTGCAATCCCACCAACTGAAGTGTGCTCTATCTGGTGGGGAAGAGTGTATAGAAATATAGTAACCGGGAGCCGAGATATGAATTTTAAAGTATTCGACCCAGAGCAGGCAGTACTGTAATTAATGAGCGGCCCGGCTTACCATTTGTATGCCTGCGTATATGCAAGCGATTAGATTTGGACATGCAGTCAAATGAATGGGGAGCACCTGTTTGCCGTTTGCATCTTTTGTTTTACTGGGACATAAAACCGTAGCAAAATTGATGCAAACTCTGAAGACAAAAGACTTTGATCACACATGAGTGTAGCTGGGCAGCGCACAATCGGCTGTCTAGTTGGTCTTTCGGGCTATTCCTACGTGGTATGTGTGGTGAACTGAGACTGCCAACATCTTCAAATGAGATTTATCCCTGCATGAACTTTCGAATCCTACAGCCAAAAATGCGGTTAATAGGCTTTGAAAATTAACTAGTCACTAACGGAATAGAGTAGAATTTTGAAATTTTGACAGTGGATGTATGGATATCGTAAAAGTTTAATTGCGAGGGCGATTTTGAAAAAAGTTGATTCTGCTCGAGTTATTGTCGAATCAAGCAACCGACGAAGTGTTTTTTGCAAGTTGCAACTTTAAAATGGACTTTTTTCAAGAAAGCTCTCGCAAGGTGCTGGAGAATCGCGTTTAACATTTTATAGGCGGGTAAAAAAAATCTCAGTTCAATCTAGTCAGACTAGTTAATTTTTTAAGCGGAATTACCAAATGTTGAATTTTAAAGTTTACTGTTGAACCTATGATACTGGTTACGGGGGTTGAATTTTTCATGATTTTAACTAAGAAACACTTTAGAATGGTCAAGACTGAGTTTTGAGTGGATATCGTAGGATCTCTACATTCGCGAACGGTAAAAGCTAAAATAGGGGTAACCTTAAGCCAGCACGTTCATACATTTTCATACTCGTTTTAATATAGGATTGTGTGATAGTACGATCATTTAGTCTTACATGCTGTACCGAGTTATTTTTACTAGATTTGTTTGTGTGAATTTTGTTACGGGAACGCACTGTCTGAAAATATCCAACAGTTCAACAAAAAAATTAAGAACCCCTTTAATATTTCCCATTTTCAAAGCGGCAAACCATACGGTGGGCTATAGAATAAGCCGTTTACTAGAAGGTACACTTACCGATAATGTCCATCTTAACGTGGACTCCTACAATCGGTCCCTGTCCACCTGACAGATTACGAGGCATTCCCAATCGATTACCGGAAACAATTCGCAAATCGATCTCCTGTTCGAAGGTAAAGGGCAACGAGGTCAGTTGCAGATTTGAAGGGAATACATCATTCATGTCAAGAATGGCTGCAGCAATGACATCGTCTTCACCAATGCACAAATGTATCTGCAAAACACTGAGTTGTTCCCAAAGCCGGTTGTAAAGCTAATTAAATGGATGACTACCTTGATCTGATGTTGTTGTAGAAAGTATTGCAGTATAAAATCCAGCCTTGAACGCACCCGGAACACCACGTGTTCGACCGCCAAATCTGACGAACTGAAATCCACAAACGATTCCGTGCTAATATTTTCTCCAAATAGCTGATAGCGGAGGGAAATGCGGATTCTGGGATACGACTGACGTTCCGAATAGCTGGTCGAAATTTGATACAAAAGCCACCGTCATGCGTATTGCAAAGAGATGCTCGCTATCCTTGCAAGGGCCAAGCTGATAGTAGCCAACGCCATCAGCAAGACGAATGAAATCGGGAGTCTCATTGTCTTTAGGATTGTTAATTCCTTATCAGTAAGCACTATTTTCAGACCAGAAGCTTTAATTCACATAACAAAATAATCATCGAGTAGGATGATTTATTTATATTACAAGAATTAGCATAATAACTACGGCCATATGCCGGACACTACAGTTTTACGCGAACGTCAGTCATCAAAACAAACTGTGTGTACTACATACTGTATAGTTTCTGCTTCCACACAATATGTAATGCAACCAGTCTCGTGCTGGTCAAAATATTTTGTAAAACAAAACAAAATAAGCAAAGTAAACTTTCTTAACTTATGGATTACTGCGGTTGTAAACATACCGAAAGTGCCGTCACCAGTTACGGCTACACTGGGTTGTGCCAGCGGCGCCTGTTCCAGGCGTACACCCACATGGATTTCTGGTTTGCCGTGCAGAAACTCCTGTGAGCCCAGTAGCGGAAGCCAAGCCAAACGTGAGTTTCCGGCCTTGACGGCGTATTGGATTAAATCTAAATCCAAATATCCAAGTCGCTCCTCACTGCCACCTTCAGTGTGCTTGAGCGTGGAATTATAGAAAACGGGTGCTAATCCCATCAGCCGACTGACAGATGCCGAGTGCCGGTTGCGGTAAGTCGTAATGTATGTTGACGATGCCGCAACCACAAAACTTCCGGTTGCGGCAACCGCAAAATTGTGATGACCGTAATAAGAGCAAATCATAACAATTATTACCATATACGTACTTTGTGGTTGCGGCAACCACAAAAATAAACAGTCGGGAAAATATTAGCATATAGTTTTGATAAATGAACGGTCAAATATATATCGGCGACAAAATTTATAAATGACTGATCTGGCCCTCAGTCCTTTTCCGGTGGGTGTCGTTTACCGGGAGGTGTCATTTTCCGGGAGGTGTCCCTTTGTAGTAGTTGTTATCATGATAATAGTGACGTCGTTTATGTAGATCATGCCCTTATATAGTATATAGTACAGTGCAACTTACTGAATTGGTAAGAGATTGGACGAAGTGTACTATGTGCTGAAATGATGTGACGCGTAATTTTGTTTCTATCCTATGTTCACCCACCGGAAAAGGACACTGGCCCTCAGTGTCCTTTTCCGGTGGGTGTCGTTTACCGGGAGGTGTCCCTTTGTAGTAGTTGTTATCATGATAATAGTGACGTCGTTTATGTAGATCATGCCCTTATATAGTATATAGTACAGTGCAACTTACTGAATTGGTAAGAGATTGGACGAAGTGTACTATGTGCTAAAATGATGTGACGCGTAATTTTGTTTCTATCCTATGTTCACCAACCGGGAAACGACACTGGCCCTCAGTGTCCTTTTCCGGTGGGTGTCGTTTACCGGGAGGTGTCATTTTCCGGGAGGTGTCCCTTTGTAGTAGTTGTTATCATGATAATAGTGACGTCGTTTATGTAGATCATGCCCTTATATAGTATATAGTACAGTGCAACTTACTGAATTGGTAAGAGATTGGACGAAGTGTACTATGTGCTAAAATGATGTGACGCGTAATTTTGTTTCTATCCTATGTTATTTTATTCACCTTTGGTATAACGTACAATTAAACACTTTAAAACATCGCAAAAGTTTTTTACAACATTAAGATTTCATTAAACTTTTCCGCTCCTTCCATCGTCCCCATAACTGATGCCGCATTTCCCGCTGTATCTCCAGCGATAATCTTTGACGTAAAAACTCATGGGAGCGCGCTTCGCCTGTGTGTTGTTTCAGTCGCTTGCCAAGTTCTTTAATAATCGCAATGGCCGACGGTCCCCATGGTCCCATTGTTTCGAAGGCGATTGGCGCAAAAATGTATCTGCCACTCAAATACAAATAGAATCTTGACTTTTTTTCTTCTGCCTCCATTGCAATCGCACCTGCGTTGGCTGCTGATGAGTTAACGTGTGAAGGCGCGACAGTGTCCACGCAAGTAACGTCCCAAGATAAACACATCCCTCTCTGCCAGGCGAAGGTTGTGCAGCCATCGGGCCGCCGTTCGGACGTGTGCGACGTGCCACGTGGCTCCAACTTCGCCGGAATCCCAGCCGAGACACAAGATCGACAGACACTGTTCAGTGCTCCGTGACGTGGGTGTCTGCCAGCAGAAAACGCACAGGACAACCCATGATGCCCATATTTGTCTACATGCTTGTGACACTTCATACATTCGTGAGGCTCGCATATAGCAATTCCCAATCTCAGGCCCACGGAGATTTTTAAAGTGTCATCATCTAGGAGATTGCCAATGTGAGAGGAAGGCAGTGCATTTAGCCAAATGCCGGCTTCTGGTTTAGACTGTGCGAGAAGCCGCGCTTTGTTCACTTTATCGTCCCGGAAAACATCTAGCAGCGTGGATAAAGATACATTACAGAGAGGAATATCCCAGGCCTTCTGTTGTCTGCGGAAGTTTGGTTCTGGGAATTCCGGTTGGTTGGATTTCTGTTTCCACAGCTCGAGGGCTTCTGTAAATACGACGGGCGCACGAAATGGAAGCATTTTCGATACTAAATCGGATACGGAGTGAATCGAAGCCAAATAGGCTGGGAGTGATAATTCCTCCGACCGACGTATGCCGATGCCGCCTCTGCTAACGGGAAGACTGGCCTGTCGCCAGCAAGGGTAGTCGTCGTGACTAGTACGTACGTTGCACAGCGTTTGGAAACAGGAGCGCAGCATCTCGTCTATTTCATATAACAGTATATATAGTATATAGTACAGTGCAACTTACTGAATTGGTAGAGATTGGACGAAGTGTACTATGTGCTAAAA